AGTTTTAGAGGCTGGATGTCCAAGCAGCATGATGACACTGACTCTGACCCTACTGCCTCCTCAGCTGTAAACATCATGATGGAACCACATCTGGTTTCTCTCTTGTCATAAAGCCATCAGGATGGAAGTATGAGACCCCACTGAAATGATCAAATCCAACCCTGTCACTTCCCCAGTGCTCTCCTCTCAACACCATGGTAGACTTAGATTTCCTCCTGCTTCCCACCATTATTGTAAGTTAGGGGGTTCAGCTTCCGTGACTCTGGGGGACCAGCCACATTCTAACAATGACAGATGCGCAGTGCACCTTGCTGTAGGCCCTGGGACCCCTTTTTGAGGTTCTCCCTTAGCAGAGTACACAGCACAGGGACCCCAAATGCAGGCCTCCAGAGAGCTGGTCCTGACCACATGGCCCAGGGAGGGGCAGCATGGACACCTCACCAGAAGGGTCCTGCTCTGGGAAAGGTAGGCTTCCTGTGTTCGCCTGAAACACATGGATGTGGACAGGTGGACATCACACAGTGCAGGTTCACAAGACAAAATTTGTTTCTTTTCTCTTCTGCTTTTTTTTTTTTTTTGTTTTAGGAAATAAGATTGGGGATCGAGATGTAATTTAAATGTCGTGAGACAGTTGAATAAGGACCCAGAAGGCATTTGCAGTTGACCAAGTCAAAGGAGGCCAAGGCAAGGAGGAAAGAATCAGGTCCATTTCAGGCAAGTAGTGACTTCACCCACGAGGTCCCATCTAAGACAGGGAGAGGCACTCTGACTCCAAGCTTCAGAACATTCTAGAACACTGCACAAGGAAGGAAGTGACCTAAACAGAAGCAGCACCTGTGCAAAAGCACTAGTTAAGTGCACTAATTAGTTGAGTGGCAGGGAACAAAGGCACCATTGCTCTGCAAAAGACAGCTGGGTGCAGCTGCTCTGCTGGGACACAGGCCCTGCCTGAGAGGACACAAGCTGTGCTGTGTCCTGTGCCACCAAACCAGGTATTCTGACTGCTCCTGGATCCTTGCACACGACTCGGTGCACAACCCCACATTTTCACACATGCACTCTGGAAGAATGCCCTCCAGATTATGTGCTTCTGTGAGTCAGGGATATATATTGTTTTTTTCTTTTCTTGTATAGACTCAGAACTCAGCCAAATGCACACACATCCAAGAAAGCCTTGCCGGACAAGACACTGGATTCCCAGGTCAGATGTACAGACGCCCATGAGGTGTGAGACTAAGACATCAGGAAACAGTGCTCAGCTCACGTAACCCAACAACTGACTGCTCTGTGCTGCTCACTCCGGAGAAACAAGGGCCTCAGCCCAGGTCCCCTACATCTCCCGGGATGAGGTAGGAGTCCGAGCACTTGCTGTCTGAAGGAGAGAATGAATGAATGAAATGATACTAGCAAGACGTGGGGAAGATTGTTAATGAGCTCATTCCTGTCTTCAAATTTAATCCCGAAATGAAAATTTAAGCCCAGAAATATTTACAGATGGTGAAGAGGCTCTATGGAAAAAATTATAATAAGAGAGGTTGGTTTACAAGCCAACTTTAAGATCTGTCTGAGAAATCTGAATCTTAGAAGAAGATCTTGGTTCAGAGGAAAAGCCTGGGCCCTGGAAGTTGGACAACAGACATTAGAGGGTGGGAAACGTCAGCTAAAATCAAACTCAGTCAGTGCTTCACTTTGCCAGGGACACAGAGGCTTCGGATCAGCTTCAGAATACATGGAACCAACTGACCCACAGGTGCTGACTCAGAAGAGCTACATAATTTTGAGGAGCTACATAATTTCAAGGAGAACCAAGGGCCCAATGAAGTCATCACCTTGACCAAAACCCCCAGCCCAGCGACAGACACAGCGGGCTCTGCTGCTTCCTGCCTGGGTTCCTGGCTTCCTGTGCCCCTGCTGGCATCTGGGGTCCCATCAGGATGCCTGAGAGACTCACAGGGAGCCCAGTCTGGGCTCCACTGAGCAGGGATCTTAAAATACAATTGTGATTATATATTAAAAAATTAAAAATAAGAAAAGAATGGAAAAAAAGTCGTCAGGAAAAAAAAGTGGAAACAGCTAAATTAAGGAAGCGACCTCTATGTGCACTGCTTTGGGTTTCCCAGCACGCTGGACAGTTTGGGTCTGCCAACATCTAAGGAGGATAAATCTGCAGACACATGAGAAGGATGCGTACTGGGCCATCAAGAAAAGGGATGGTCATCCGTGCCCCTCCTGCCAGTCTGCGAGGAGGTTCTTCTCTCACACAGTGGAAAAGCAAGAACGGTGGGCATTTCTGGTTTTCACCCTCTGATGCTATTCAGTCACACAGTTAAACACGCTATGTTCAGATAACACAGGATTTAAACAATCTTGCAGAACTCAGAAGGCCCCAGCCAGGGAACTGATGAAAAATTTTACTGCCTTACAGTAACTAAAGAGTTCATTGTAAAAGACATGTCATTAGCTATTACTAAATCCTGAGATTTCCAGCGTTCAGAAAGCAGAGACAGTAAATTCGGTTTAGTCAGAGTAACTGCTTGTAATCGGCAATGTCTGGGAAAATAAGTGTCTCTCTCCAATAATCATTTTAATTAACACCCTGTGAACAGCTGTGTGACTGAGGGCCAGAGGAGGCCATCAGACAGGTCCACCAGCACAGATCAAAGAGACGCTGAGCAGCACACCCCAGGGCCACTGCCTTAATCCTTCACGGTCACCAAACAGGCACTGCCCACAGGGGCGGTGGCCTCTCCACCGACACTTTGGTCTCCTCCGAGGGACCCTCAGTGGGTAAGCACAGCACCAGGAAGGGGGAGCAGCAGCGGCTGCACTCCGCAGAACGCTTCCCTGGCCCGCACCAGTGCACGAGGCTGGGCGACCAGATGCCCGGGAGTCAGCAGGTCGGCGGCTCCAGGGTGCCTGCTGGGCTATCTTAGGCGACTCCAAACCTCTGACTTCTGCAGAACTTGAATGAGGGTCAGGAATCCTGAGACCTCTGAGATGGGGGGCTAAGGGCTCCCTGGCACTGATGGGCACAAGAGGCGGTTTCCAAGGTTCTGCTGAAGCCTGATTTGAATGCTGCCTGGCCCATTCCCTTTATACCCAGAACCTTGCTGAGACAGGATGGTACCAGCAAAGAGCAGGGGCCCCATGAATGGCTCGGAAGGCTTCCTTTACCTGATCATATGGTGACTAAGGTGTATGATCCTGGAATAAAACCTGGGGGACACTGAGGGGGCATAGGGAGAACAAGAGTGGGCTGAGATTTCTCGCCAACCCCACGCGGAGGCAGGGTCCTGGTAGGGGACCCATTGTGGATGGCAGCCCTTCCTGAGTGGAGTGCCCCAGACGGGGGGCACAGCCAGAGAGATACAGTCTGCTGCCCCTCGAAGATGGTGGGTTTCCACCAAGAAGGTTCTGCAAGGGGCCACAGCCCCCAGGAGGAGGACACACAGCCATCCGCGCTCCACTTCCTTGTGCACTGAGAAACCCTGATTTCCCATCAGAACTGAGAACAAGCTACACTGTCACTGACTCTTCAGAGAAGTTTAAGAGAAGGGACTGGAGAGTGGACTTTAGGCTGATTTTCTCCAGGAGCCCAGAGGGAGCATCATTCCCTCGGGGTACAAGCACTAGAAATCCAGGGGACATCAGTAAAGTGGAGAGAGCTGGTGTCACCTGGCCACTCCCTAGGGACGCTTCCATGGGATCCAGGAATCAAAATGTGCAGCAAACGTGCTCTGGAGCTTGTGATGTCCCCATGCAAATGCAAAGCCTTGGGATTGGGCTGTTAGGTATTCCAATCAAATGCTATTTGTTCAAAGGCCCTGGAGAGGAAGACCAAAGCCTGGCTGTGAGGTCAGGATGGGAAGAGGGCATGATGCTTAAACGCCAACTTCCACTTGTTGCTCAGAGAAGCCCACATCTTACAGTTTTGCCCAGCTTTTTTTCCAGAAGAAAGAGGGCTCCTCTGGGCAGCCTGCCGTGTCCCTGTCCGAAGCTCCACTGACTCTGGTGGCCCGGAGGGCTATGCGCTCTCCCGTCTGTGCAGAAAGCAGGCATATTTCCCCATAGAAAGCCTTGCATTTCTGAATGAGTAGCTTCCCTGGCGGCCAGAATTTAAATAGTTTGTTTGGTCTGGCACTGGCTCTGCAGACCGGCATGCTGGTTAGTTACTCCTTCAAGTTTCCTTTGTTTTTTCTATTCATTATTGTCACCTATTAAGACCACGTGGATTCTTTTTGATATTGCTTTCTCCATTTAAGAGTTCTTAAATTATGCAAGTTTGTCATTGTGTACTGTTTTACTTAAATATAGTACAAGCTAAATTCTAAATTATAAAACCTGGAACGTACTTAGTTAACATCCATTTGTCTTCTTGGAAACTTGTATGTTTCATCAGATATAATTTACTTTTTTTCTAAAATTGCAATATTCAGTTCCCTTCTTTATCAGACAGCTCATAATGGCTCTATCTGTTTCAGTGAACTGCCTTAATTAAATACTGCCAGGGCTGAAAAGTTTTGTGACATTGACAAAGCCAGCTCTTATCGTCTGATAATCTTTTTGATTATCACTTTCTTCCTTACCATTCTCATTGAGACTTTCATAAAATTCACCTTTTCTGGGTTAATTTAAATATATAACTCAAAGGTAATTTTCTTTCGTGTTTCCCAAATGTATTTGCATATGAAAGCCTTACTCTGTATCACTGAGCTGTATGCACACAATTCTACTGCTCATCGTTAACGCACCTGGTAATTACAGTGAATTCCATTTGAATAATCTCAAGTCACAAGACCATGCTCAAGATAAATTTTAAACAAGACGACAGGGGACGCTAGCCCACTAGGTGATATTTTGAAGGCCACACTAGTGGAGAGAGTAACTGGGACTCAGAGTCACTGTCACAACTAAACTTGCAGAGAAGCCCTGGGTAGCTCCTTCAGGCCCGACAAGCCCCCTGCAGTGGTCCCCAGACGGCATCAGGAGAAGGCACCTACCCCCTCCACAGGACACGGAGCATGCGGAGCGCACAATGGCCCACGTGTAGCGAGGCTGAGCTGCGGACTTCTTCTCTGCACTGGACCTGGGCAGCGAAAATTCCCAGGCCACACCCGGATTCTTGCCCTGGAACAGAAGCTGCCAAAAACAAACAAACAAACAAAAAGTAAATAAAGCAAATGGACATGAAATCCACAACCACACAGTAGTTAAAGCCTTCTGCACTGAGCTAAAGCATCAACAGTAAGAAACAAAGCAGCTGGTGCCAACGACAAAGCTCCATCTTCCAAAACATGCGCCGACTATCCAAGTGGGGAGAACAGCCCCATCTAGACTCAGGCGCACTTGGAAGACATGGGGGCTCACATGCAGTGTCTCCTCCATGCATCCTCAATGCCTGTGTGACCACGCAAAGGTACAAGGGTCTCCCCGGGTGTCTCTGTGAGATCCTGGCATCCACTTTCATCCCAGTGAGTCAGAAAGAGCAACTTTTGAATAAATGACTTTTCTTGAATTGTGCACAGAAATAGGATAAGGCAAGGGTTTAGCATTTCCTCAGCCTGCCATGGCAGCCTGCCCAGCCTTGGGGTAAATCAGGTAAGAAACCCATCTGCACTAGTAAGCCTGCATGTTCTGAGCAGAGAGCAGAAGGGCCTGGGTCAGGACACGACCAGCCACAGGGCACCGGGGCAGAAGAGACTGTGTGGCCGTGACCAGCAAGGGGTCAACGCTCTGACACTGACAGGTCATCATGCGGCACAGGTGCTGCTTCTGGATGCCTGCTTTGGACCTGTAACTATGGGACTGGGCAGTGCTGGCCCCTCCCAAAACACAGACACAGATAAGGCCCTGAGGCCTTGCTTACAGCAGCTGAGCTTGCAGTAGAGGCACACAGTGAGTGTGGACTGGTGAAGACCCATGGTGAGGACACAGGAAAGTCTACAAACTAGATCACATGCCAAGAAAAACAAGGTGCTAGAAAACAGTCCACTGCCCCTTTCAGCCCACTGACAGACTGCCCTTGGTCTTGCTAACATGTTTGCATGCTTGCAATTAGTCCAAGGGCACAAAACCACAAAACATCAAGACCATGAAACCCTACCTCCACGATGAGCGTTTCATTGGTCGGTCCAGTGGAAGTTAAGCTCTCGGGCTCCTTATAGGACCGTCTGTACTCAAAAGCAGTGCCTGAAAACTTGTACCATCCTGGCCAATCTACAGTCCACTGTCCGTTCAGGTAGTACCTTCTGAAGACATTGCGCACAGAAATGTAAGAAGTAGATACATTCATCTCATAGATGCGAATACTCCGGGCTCCAGAGGGAATGGAGACCATGTGATAATACTCTGGATAAAAGAAATGGGGAAAATGCAGAATTTCATTTAATTGAGCTTGTCCATAACCAAAGCTTGGGAATCCATGTTTGGAAGAGTTGATAGGTGTATTTGGGCAATCAGTTATGCTCAATCAAATATGACTTATTTTTATCAACAGGAGCAAAGCTCTGATGATTTCTGCTCTCCAATAAGCTGGTGATCACTTCCTGTCCAAACCAAAGCCTGGAGAAGCAAGGGGCTCCTACAGCAGGAAAGGGACAGGGAAGGTTTGCACTGCCTGAGTGTTTGATGTTTACACTCTCTCCAGCTGCTCCCACAGAGGAGCTGCAGATCACACCACTCCAGCCCCAGCCCCCAGGCAGTTCTGAGATACTCACGGTTGGTGTGGTGGGGCTTGCTGTAGACACCCTTGTGAGTCACACAATCCGAGTTATTTCCCCTGCACACTCCACAGGAGTCCTCAACAGCATCAGATCCAAGGATATTGTCACAGCCAACTCTCTGGAGGACCCATGAGGTCACATGTCATCCATGGAAGAAAGGACAACACAAGCAATAATGTCACCAGCCTCATGCAGGAGACCTCCTCCCCACTCTCACTGAAAGTCTCCCCAAATTGGGGTATGAACAAATATTTATTGGATACCCAATATGTGCACAGTGAGACTACACTTCTACTCTGAGCAGCTTTGAAACATCATACACAGCCTGTGGCCTACAGTGCGGCTGCCCAGCTGCAGTATCAGGAGCCACAAGTTAAACCCGTGGGCTGTCACGGTGGAGACACAGGTAAACGTCACACTGACACAAGCAGCGTGGTACAGTGGCAAGTGCCCTGGGGCTAAGGCAGAGATGTGGCAGCTGCCACCAGGGGGACTGTCCCTAAGTCAGAAGAGGCAGTGTGACAGGACTCGGGAGCTCTGTATGGTTTCTGTGATGCTTGTTTTATATACGCCCTGCCACACAGAATGAGTTCTATATTTAAAAACAACAACAACAAAATCCATTCAGAACCAAAATACCCAGCCTACCATCTCCCTTCCTTGAAATTCTTGGGACATATAGAGACACATGAGCTAGAAAGGTCAAGTATCATGCACATTTGGTGGTTCTAGGGACCCAGCAGGACCCTGGCCACCCTCTAATGGGCACATCTGTGTTTCTAGAACATGGTATCTATGGATTTGTGGCTAGAGAGGTAAAGAAAACCCACTGATGGTCACACGTGGGCTCAGGGCACATTTTGGCACTGAACAAGTTCAGGTCCCAAAGCTCTTTCACAGCTCTTTGGATTTTAATTTTTCTTCAGTGTTTTGGACTTCAGAGTTACAAACACGGGACTGTGACACTGTAGGTATCTGACTGTTCAGTGCTCCTGGCGGGCATCCATAATAATAATATATTTAACAAGTCACAGGTCATCAGGATTGTGAATGACCTGACGGAGGAAAAGGTCTCATGGACCATCTCGGGACCTCCGCACATGCAACAGAGCTACTCCAGGGAGCTGGGGGAGGGCACAGGGTCCCACAGCCACATGTGCAATAGTCGGACACTGAACCTGAGGTTTGCACTCTGTGGGACATGAGCATCAGCTCACTTGTGCAAGGAGAAACTAGCTGTTCCCTGCAGTGTGTCTGATCTGGTAGCACCTTCACTCTGTTCATCATAAAATTCTCCCCTTCATGAAGGGGGATGAGCTCCTCATATGCATTTTTATTTTGAGACAGTGTCTTGCTATGTAGGCCAGGCTGCCCTTGGCCTCGTGGTGATCCTCCTGCCTCAGCCTCCCAAATGCTGAAGCTACATGCCCGGCTGCTCCCTACGGCCGCTCATGTTTTTCCTACCTATTGCTTTCTTCTGTGTGGTGCTCACCTCCTGGCCGGCCCTGTCCTGTGGCACTCAGCTGAGACATTGATGGGGCCACTGCACAGTGACAGCTGCAACGAGTGAACTGTCCCTGCCTGAATGCTCAGAGAGTACACCTAATCCTGAGGCCCCCCTGCCTAACCCTAAGCCTGCTCTCCCAGGAATCTGAACGCCTCCTCTGGCAGTGGTGGTTGTGGTGGAAATGCCGCTCTTCCCTCCCTGGTCCTGCCCATCGCTGACTGGGTCAGCGCCTAGAAGCCTGGGCTTTGGGTACCGTGCTGCCGTCTCCGCTTCCCCAAGCCAGGCTTTCAGGCCCAGCTCGGATGCTCATACTTCTTGCTCCCAGGTGCCCTCAAGTGTCCCAAACCCACAGCTAAGACAGCAGCGGACCGGCCTCTGCTGATGCACTGCAGCAGGGCAGCACCATCAATGCGTGCACCTGGGGCCTCTGCACCTGCCTGGGACCTGCGGGGAAGGCCTTCTATTGTGTGTTTGGTCTTTCTAGCCCTACACAGTGCCTGATGCAAAGCAGACCGTCCGGAGACATTTGTTGAATGAAGAAGCGATGGTTATTACCTCACATATCCCATCTATACAAACATTACGGCTATCCTCCGAGCATGGGGTCCCATCTTTCACTTTATTTGACAAAGAAAAGAAGAAATCAAATCCTTCTGCGATACAGTAGAGTTTGCATAAGTCCTGATCTTAAAAAGAAATACACACACAAACACAAATAAGAAAGATACTTAAGCTCGGATCATTTTTGCTCTAATTTTAGATAGATTTTTCTACTTTTTCCCCATAAAATAATTCCCACAAAATAACACATTGCAAAGACATTTTCAGTGATTTCTTCTTTACATTTGTTGTTATTACTCTTAATGTTTTGCTCTTAATTCTCTTAGTTTTAACTCTTATGTTCCTTACTGATCTCTGTTATATAACGGCTGGCACATAGTAGGCATTCAATAAATATTTGTTGGCTTCCCTACAACATTAATGCTTTGCTACATTTCACTGCTGTTCTGTAGAAATGAAAAGGTCACTATAGTGCTGTAGCAATATGCAAAATTCTTACAAATAGAATATAATAAAGGAATGAAAACATCACTGAATTTCTTCATGCAGTTGGCAAAACACATGCAATGCTAAACTGAAGAAGAAATGACTTTTAGCCAGGGATATAGCTCAGGGGCAAGCACAAGGTCCTGAGTTCAATTTCTGGTACAAAGAGGAGAGAGAGGAGAGACAGAGAGAGAGAGAGAGAATTTTTAGACAAAATCGCTCATACTATGCCACTGCTCTCTGCTTGGTCTGGGGACTTCTGACCATGCACTGGTCAAAGGTGGATGAGATGCCAGGGCAGGGTGGCAGGCCAGATCAAACTTACTCCCAGAGTACACACAGTATATGGCAGAGACTCCCAGAACTAGGGCAACTGGTCTACCTGAACGTTGCATTGCTAATCACAATTCCTTAACAAGCAAAGATGGCAGAGCGCAGGGTATCGCTGGGAAGCAGGGCTGGGATTTACCTTCCACCTGAGTGTATGGTTTCCACTTGTAGCGCCACCCGCGGAACTGCTTGCTGTTGTGCTCGGCACACTGGGCAGCGCGGAAGTCCACACTGTCCTGGGGACACTTACGGCTGTTGCAGAGCCTCAGGGTACGCGTGGAGCCCTCACAAAACTTCCCTCCGTGGGACGGTCTGGAATGCATGTTTGGGGTTAGAAACTTCAGAGTTCGGGGCTACTCTGTTCTTCCTGAGGATGGCCACAGTCAGGGCAGGTGGGGCTGGGGCTCCAATTTACTAAGAGGGGGCAGTTAAGGAGGTGCACGTGGAAGCCAGGCATGGTGTCACATGTCTGTAATCTCAGCATTTGGGAGGCTGAGGCAGGAGGATCATGAGTTTGAGGCCAGCCTGAGCTACATAGGAGGTTGAAGACCACCTAAAACTACATATAGAGAGAGGCTTTGTCTCAAAATAATACATACTTGGCAGCAGTCACTGACATTCTCCTGTGTGAGTGTGACACAGCTCTCCACTGCCAGCCTCTCTGTGGCAAAGCCAGGACATCAGGACCAAGTCAGGCAGACCTGGAGCCACTTGCTCACCTGTGGAACTCACGTGCACCCCAGGTAAGAGCACATGTGGACAGGTGGAGCTGGGGGGACTGTGGGAGTACAAGGAAGGACTACATAGGTCTTAGCCCAGGAAGATGAGGAGCCCCGTCCCTGGCCCTGAGGGTGACTGGTCCACACAGTCCTGTCCCTGGACAGAAGCCCGGTGGAAAAGCAGAATGCAAGGCTGAAAAACCAAAAGCTTCAGTTTTGCTTTGGCACAGCAGGACTGATCTTACTGATGCCCACTCGCCTGTGTTCCATAGGCTCTTCCAGGGGCTCTTTAAGGAGACCCTTAGTTCTTCAGAGGTTTGTAGTTAGCACCTACTTCCTGAACACCACTCAATATCGGTTGCTTACTTATTTTCAGGAGTCAGGAAGTTATACAAGATCAAAATACATCTTTCAATTTTAAGAAAAATTGTTACAGTAAAATCGTCCTTAACCTCCCTCAAAATCCTTCCCATCGTCCCTGCCACGTCAGAAACAGCCCTGGAGTCCTCTTTCAGGAGAGTCTTTAGTTGCACTGTTGTGGCTTCCCTTGATGTCTTGAATTGACTCAAAATATGTCCCCTTCATGCTCATTTTGACTCTGGGGAAGAGACAGAAGCTACATGGTGCCAGATCTGGTGAATAAGGGGGATGGGGATGCAGAATCATGTTTTACCAGCTGGGCCTTTTCTCTTTGGGTAGCACTCAGCGTGGACCGTGTTTTGATCACACCTTGTATATTAAAGTGGAGAAGAAACGCTGGAGTCAACGCCCTCCCTTCCTCATGCTTCGTGTGACACGGTGTAAGTGCAGAGTGACAGAACACAGGGAAGGCACGGGCACACCTACCTGGGGTTGGAGCAGAGGCGATCCCTGTGCGACACGCCTCCCCCGCAGGTCCTGGAGCAGGGGGACCAGGGCGACCAGTCCGACCAGTGGCCGTGCGTGGGCTTGGGACCTTCGTCCCCGTACTTCACGCACTGTCCTCCGCGGCACCACTGAATGATGAAAGAATAAGGAAACATTTACTTGTGCTACCGACCGCAGGTGGATTCGCCTCGGCACTGCCGCAGTGGGGGAAGCTGCAACACAGGCACATGGTCCCCCCACCCCAAGTGGTATCCAGTTCAAGTGCATTTAGTGTTGCTTCTTTTGCTCTCCAATGTAGCATTGTTCTATAAAGTCTCACAGATGAGGGCTGATAGAAACACACAGTGAGTGTTTAAATCTTTAAAACTCATCTTTTCTGTAATGTGTAAAAAAATTCAAACATACAGCATATCTTCTGATCGACCCTGCCAGAGGGCATGAAGAGAAAACTTATTTTCAGTCACCTGAGCTGCAGGAGCTGAGCGGGTTCACTGAGTTGTGTAGCATGGACACGGACACTGGTGTGACTGAGCTCTCCTATAACAACGCTTTGCAAGACTGAGGCTCCCAGCAGCTGGACTTGGAGCTGGAGCTGCTTCCCTGAGGGTGTGGTAAAGGTCACCCCACTTTCCGTGAAGATAAGGCAGTCTTTGTGGAATTCTATCCGGCCCCCAGGGATGGAGACAGGATTGCTTCTCCTCTCTCTCTCTCTCTCTCTCTCTCTCTCTCTCTCTCTCTCTGTCTCTCTCTCAGAAAATGCACTCATGATTTTCATCTGCCTTGACCTCTGTCATGCCAGTGCTGTCACAGTCTCACCCTCTGCCCAGGGGTGCCAGACCCTCTGCTGTGGTGCCATCTGTGAGGAGCTCGGTAGTCCAGGCTGCCTGCTGAGGGACAGAAGGCGGCCTGCATGGGGCAGGCAGAGCCTGGCTTTTGGGTGGGGACAGGGCAGTCACAGCACTGCAGCCCTAGAATAGAGCCAGCAGCTCTATGCTGGAGGGCAAAGGACATGTAGATAAGGGGAAGAGGACACTATGTCCACAAGGCTAAAAGTGGGCAAACACTGCTGACAGGCGGCAAAGGCCATCTCAGGTGGTTCTACTTAAGACGACTTAAGGAAGAAAAACCAAATCGTGAAAGAAGTAATTCTGAAAGCCTGGCCCATTCAATTCTTTTGTTTTTCTGTATAAGCAAGAATAAAAGAAAAAAATACAAACAAGAAAGGAAACATAAGAAGGTGTGCCTTTTTCACTACCACCTGCCCTTGCTGCAGGTGACACACAGAAGTCCAGCAGCCCCCTGAGCTCCATGAATCCTGCAGAGGGGCCAGGTGCCTGGAGGATCTGAGGCATCTCCAGAGCCAGAGAGGGAGGAGGAGAGCGAAGCCAGCTGTGCTCACTGGGGACAAAGCCTCCAGGGAGGAGGGGAAGCCAGGTGTGTGCTGGCTGTCACTGCTCTTTGTTTCATTCTGTTAAAAAAAAAAAAAAAAAAAAAGATTGGGTTGTCGCTTTCCAGGAGGCAGCAAATAGGAGGACAAGAATCCACAAGTTCAGTGACTCAGAAAATCCTTGCAGGAGAATCCGTGTTGGTCTGCAGATGCAGAGGAGACCCGGATTCCCCGAACGGACAGGTAGGTAGAAGGGATCAGGGCTGTCTCAAAAGTACTCGTCTGCATGGTGTGGAGGCGTGCTGGCTTCATCTGTTTTTACCGGGCACCCATGGGCGTCTCACTGTGGGTCATGGTGCTACCACCCAGGTGGTGTTAACACCTGGCAAAGCTCAGAGGTCCCAAATGGATAGTGGCTCTGTAATGGCATCACACTTTGGATTTTGCTTTTGTTTTGTGTACTGGAAATTGAATCTAGGGCCTCTGCACGGAGGCTACATCGCCAGCTCTTGATCTTTTATTCTGAGACAGGCTTTCGGTATGTCACTCGGTTGCCTTGGCTGAGGTCAAACTCGCATTTCTTCTGCCTTGGCCTTCCAGCGTGCTGGATCACAGGTATGTGCTCACCATTGTGTGTTTTTTAAAACACTTTTAAAAGGGAGATTTCAAAGATTCATACAATAGTCTTAGGAAATCCTTGGAGCTAGCACCGCATTTTACCAGGTCTCCAAATCCCATCACATCTCAGCCTTCTCTCCTCGGTCTTGAATCTCTACTCATCCCTAAAAGTAAGGACTTAATAGAGACCATTCATTATCATATCTAGAAACTTACAATAACTTCATAACATCATGAAATGTCCAGGTTCAGAGTTCCACTTGTCTCACTGTTTTCTCTGAAATGAGGTCTGTCTGTTGCATTAGCGGATGGTTCTTCAGCCTCTCTCAATGTCTATGTTTTCTCTTGATCCTCTCTTTCCTATCAGTTCACTTGTTTGTCTGGTAGAGTCTCTCATATTCTGGATCCTGATGGCTGCCTCTCCCGGGCACCTCCAAACATGGTTCTGTGTCCTCTGAGTTACCTGTACCAGGCGAATTCAGATCCAAGGTGAGAGCAACTCGATACGCCTTTAAGTTAAGTTGCTCCAGTTTGCTTTTCATAGAGATTACTGTGACAAAATTTAAGGTAACAGCAAATGTTTACATGCTCTTTCAATACACATGGTTCATCCATGTGTTCATCTGTAGTACTAGAAATTGAACCCTAGGTCTTCACACTGAGCTACAGCTCCGCCATTTTTTGTTTTGTGACAAAATCTCTAAATTGATAAGTTTCCCAGACTGGGTTTGAATTTAAAATCCTTCTGCTCCAGCCTCCCAAAATGCTAGGATTACAGGTATGTGCTGCCACCCCTGGCTCATCATTTTATTTTTTAATATATAAGAAAATGATTATCTAGTTCAGGATTTCATTTTCTTTGATAAAAGATAGAAGAGTGCAGAAAGCTTTTTCCAGCCCTTTTCTGTGTGATGCTGTGCTTTGTGGATCATTTCACAGAAGACTGTGGATGTCTTCCAGCTCCCTTTTTTGCAGTTACATAATACTCTACCCAGTGCTGTTTATTTCTGAGCCAGTTTTTTTCTTGATGGACATTTGTATCATCTCCAATCCTTTGTTTGGATAATCATAGATGTAGGAAATTTTCTTGAAATGAATCTTTTGTTACTCGTGCCAGCATTTCTTTAAGTAACTTTTCTACTTAAAAGTAAAAAACAAACCCTTTCAGAGAATTTGAATCAAAACACTTTTGTCTTCTCTCATGAGGTTAGGAGAGGATGCTTAGGTACCTGTGCAAGTGCACACACATGCTTGTGCACATATACTTCTGGACTCAGCCTCAGGCCGTTCACAGGTATTTGCAGAGCTGGGTTAGGCTTACAGCCCTGCATCCCAAAGCAGCATTTCCCCTAATTGTGGTTTTGCTTTCAGCCTCCTTGTCTCTGACAAGTGACAGTACCTGACAAAGAAATTTTCCCTTCCTGCTTTTGTCTTTGACTGTTGAGGTCTTTGTTTCCTGAATTCAACCATGGTGTGATAATATAAAGTAGAAAATTCTGGAAATGAATAATGCATGATTTACAGGCACCGTTCTGCACACAGGGTGAAGGCTTGCACTGTCCTGTCCGTTCCGTCCTGCTCTGGGGGTGAAGTGCAGCCTCGCTGGACCGCTGCTCCCGTTCCTCACGTCCTCACCTTGCTGGTCATCTTGACAAGGACCCCTGCGTAGTCTGGGGAGGTGGGGGACAGTGCAGCCCTGCCGCCCACTTCTCTTCACTCTCTTGTCCTTCGTGCAGCATGGGGGCTCCTCAGAGACGTTAGAAAGGTGAGAATACAAGGCTCCTGTTAGTCCTGAAACAGCTAAGAGGAGCCCCGCACATTGTGAAAGCTCTGGGGAGCTTTCATGAAGCTTTTCTAATTATTGGTTTCTTATGGAAAAAAAAAAAAGGGTTTTCAGCCCCCATCGGTCTTGGCTGTCCTCATGAGTTCTGGAATGAGCTGCCATGATGTTCTGCGGGATGCCTGAGAGAGGCCACAATGACAGGAGCTCCACTGCAGGGCACTGCGGTAAGTGTTCTAGTGCACGGCCACCACTTGCTGCGGTCACTCTCCTGTCATGCCTGACTCCTACCTTGGTGCCTGTGTGTGTGTGTGTGTGTGTGTGTGTGTGTGTAGGAAACACACAGACTCAGGTAGGCTTTACGCACTCCTGGCTCCAGTGCTGACTGGTATCTAGGAAGCGGGGACCGCTGGTGAGGATGAGTTCCAGCCGCACACCAGCGCCTTTTGAGGAGCGCCTTGTGACTTCCCATTCCATTGCCGGACAGGATGCTCCATGGCAGTGGGCACTTTCCCAGGAGGACACCACAGGGTCACGGCTGTTTCTGGTTTGAACCCTGTTGACAGAGTCCTCACACCGTACATGAACCCCAAGGGTACAGGGAAGCAAGTGAGAGCATCCACCAAAGCACTGGGGAGCAAAGCCAGCACCAGGTCTCAGGTCCACGAGCTGCATGACCTGGAGGTTCCTACAGTGCTCTGAGCGGCCGCACCCTCCTCTGCAAGTCAGGGAGGAGAACCTGGCAATGCCCTGTCCTGCAGTGCAGAGACGGTGGGGCCCAGGGTCAAGCAAGGCAGCTGAGGTGGTCACAAAGCGAGGGCGGGTTCACTTTTACATTTATTTTTGTTGTCTCATTTTGGGGTACTTTGGATGAACCCAGAGCCACATGGGTGCAAGACAAGCACTTTTCCACTAAGCGCTGCCCTCGTCCAAGTGCTGGTTTAATTCTGTACTAAGTATCCACAGTGATGGGAGAGCTAGTGCCTACTTGAGTCTGGCATGCCGTGTGCATGTATGAGTGTGTGTGTGTGTGTGTGTGTGTGTGTGCACAAACAAGTAGTGGAAACGGACGTGGTCCCCTCAGGATGCCACCGTGAAGACCAAGGCTGGCACTGAAACATAAACTAAGTCTTCATCAAGTGGCTGCCATGAGCGGGTGTCTTGAGGGGCTTAGGCGGCTCTGTGGAGCCCCTATCACAAAAACGTTTTTCACCATGTCCAGGTGTCCCAACCTCCTGCATACAAGTGCACAGTGACACACAAAACACATGGCAAACGTAGAAAGAGGGTGGCATGAGACTGGCCACTGGCAGTCCCTGTGACCTCCCAAAGAGCACTCAGCCACTTCGACCCCGGGGTCCAGGGTCCCTGCCTCTCCCCCGGACACTGGTCTTTCCAGTGCAGAGGGAAAAGCTAGATTTAAACTGACAGGGGAAATTATCTCAAGTACTCTCAGAAGTTAACCTAACAGTGTTTTTAAGGTAAATGAAATGCAACAAGAACCCATGGATTGTTTTGGGGGAACATCACAGCAATGTCACTCAAAAAAACAAGCAGCACTTGACCAGGAAGGACGCAGGAGTTGCCAGGGCCTTCCCAGGGTGAGGCGGCTGGCATGAAGCACAGACGGCGGACACACGTGAGTGGGGACATCAGGACATCCTGCTCCGGGCCCTGGCAAGTGGTCCAGGGTCCTCTCACAATTAGAACTTCCACACTGCACACCCCGCCATACACGGTTTCTCCTTATAGAAACTAAGAGCAACCTTGCTGCATTTTTGTCATACATTAACACAGCCGCCTAGGTCACTACTGGAATGTCATCATCCATCTCACCCTGGTGGCCCCAGGAAGGGCTGCTTCAACCCTGCACTTCTTCTGGGTCATGCCACGGCTGCATTGGTAACACTGAAAAGCCCTTTGTCTGCAGAGATGCACGCAGTTAGGATGTGGCCCAGTCTGAAGTTTAAACATGGTCGCCCAGAGCTACAGGTAGAGATTTGTCTTCATGGTCATTGATATCACTGGAGACACCACAGTAGCGAAGGCTGAACATAACTGCAGTGGTCTTTAGGACTTTGCCTTTGCATCCTCCTCAGTGATGTTTACATTCTCACTAGAGAATGTGGTCACTGCTTAGTCAGATGGATTAAGATATTACTCTTACATGAGAAGCCTAATTTATTCTTTTTTTAAAGAGATGGTGAGGAATCCAGTTCTTTATGAATTCTAGGCGCATTCTCTATCACTAAGCCACATTCCCCGGTGCTGATAAATTGTAATGGTGAGTTCACCCTGCACCAGGGTGAAATAACAAATTTGCTATCTTAGTTGAGCATGGTAGCACACTCCTATAATCCCAGCACGCTGGCAGGTTGAGGTGGGAGGACAGGAAATTTGGAACCCAACGTGGGTCATTTAGTGACCCTGTCTCAAAAAATAAAAAAGTACTAGGCCTGTAGCTTGGTGCAAAGGCCCTGAGTTCAATCCCCAAACTGCAAAGCAAATAAAGCTAAAACAAACAGAATACTTGCTACCTTACATGTTTTTTTTTTTTTTCTGTTCTTCTAATGTAATTCTGTCTCTTTTAACAGGGGCATGCACTGGTTAAAGGGGTCCACCACACGGGCGCTTGGAAACCCAAGGGTACTAACGTTGGCCTTGTAGTACCAGCCAATTATAACCCATGGACCTGTCTTCGTACTAAATAAGTGCACTCACTGTCTACTGCCCAACTTTTGGATCTGTTATCTCCAGACCTCTGGTCAATTATATTCCCACAAAAGTGACAATGACTATCAACATAAAATAAAGACTGCACTTCACATGGGTGTCAAAAGAGGTGTGCACGCAGGTGTGTGGGAATCCTGGGTTAAAAATCCCAGGAAGCACAGTCACATGCTCTGCAAGACCGCAGCGCTTCTTACCATGTCCGGCCCGCACTGGGTGCCCTCCGCGGCTGGCATGAACTTCGTCTCACACTTTCTCCCGATCCGATGGCACCACAGGGCTTTGCAGATGTCCTAATGGGGAAAAGAGCTGATCAGTGTTGCAACGAGCCAGGCCCCCACAATACAAACATCGGGAGAGTTCGAGGGAAAGAAACCGATGCAAATGTAAGGCACAGTTGCCCGTGGTAGACAGGGACTGGAAGACCAGCTTAGTTCGTCTGTGAAGCTTTACTCATATTTACTCTTCATAAATTTAGCATTGTATTTTCTAAATTAAGCAGTAAAATAGATTTAATCCAAACATTGTGACAAACTATAAAAAAATTATAGTTGAGAAAACCAAACTAAACATTTTATGTTTTACTGTTTTCAGGCTAACCTTCTACTAAACTCTCCAAATCTGAATCTTAATGTTTAAGTACAAAAATGATGAGGACACTACTGGTTTACTTGCCCCTCATTCACCTATTCATTCATCCCTCTATACCTCCATCTATCCCCATCTTTCCATCTATCCATCTATCCATCCTCCTAGAACCTTGGATGAAAATTTAAAACATGCAGGACATCTTGGTAGAGAAGGGTTCCACGATGAATATAGACTGGATTCACAGTCTTGAGTTTGGGCCGAAGGGTTCAAAGGAGAAATGTGCTGTAAAGCCCCAGGGTGGTGCTGATGGGAGAGAACAGGGTGCAGGGGGAGCCTGCTGGGGGAGAAAGTGCTCTGCGTGGAGCACTCAGGCAAGGGTTCAGACAAGCAAAGGTGCCTAAGGCAGCCCCAGAGTAGAGACCTTTGTCAGGCTGAAAGGGATCATCTCAAACAAGGAGAAGAATGAGCCATGGAGGAAAAGCTTATGCAAGGGAAGCCCCCAGGGCTGGTCTGCCAGGAAACTCAAGCAAAGTCTGACGCTGATAAACTACAAAGGCTGTCAGGGTTGAAGGAATTGTGTTTACTTTCATTAACATTTAGTGACCTGCAAAAGTCCGCACCTGGGCCTCATGACACTTCTGGAATGCTAGTGGGAGCTTTGGCTGGGGATGATGAAAACATTTCCTAAACCATCTGCAGGACACTGCGGAGCATTTAATGCATGCTGTGCTATTCTCCAAGAAACGAGATGGCTGCTGGGCAATTCGTATCACAGAGAAAATGAACTGCAGTAAGGCAACATAGTTCTGCTTAACAGAGGGCCCTGCAACCTCATGCTTCATTTCAGCAATGCTAGAAGGAAGTCTCCGAGTCAGATGTGGATGGCGTAGCTGTGATCCAGCACTCAAGAGGCTGCAGCAGAAGGGCCAAGAATTACAGGCCAGCTTAAGCTATACCGTGAGCTCAGACCACCCCGAGCTACATGGTGAGAGCCTGGCTCAAAACTATGCATAGGAGGCCTTTTGCATTGTGTGAATTGTCTCACAGAGGGTTTTATTTTTAATGATCCATTTTAAGTTTAAACCAATTTTTAAAATCTCCTAAAGCTAATTATCTACTTCATGTTTAGAATTAAGGTCTGGACTAAGGACACAGCCTCTCATTTTTCCAGTTTCCCTAATAAACCAGATTTTGGAAATTTACAATCTTCACACACAGACCTGCAGGGGTTTAACTCCAATGCTGACTGCTTTGCTTCTGAGCCATGTATAAACTCATATGGTTGCAGCTGCTGTGCCAGTAAATTTCCTGTTTTTTGTGCATCTACCACTAGGATCAATGTGTCATGTTTAGGGCAGGGAACAATTAGCGCTGTCCCAGGAATGGTGGCTGAGGTCTCCTGCACACGGGTCCTCAGTACATGGAATGATTGTGCGGAGACTTCAGTTCCTGGACAGAAAGATGTTTTCAGTTCTCTAAGCGGAGTCTATAAAAGTAGGAGCCTCTCTGATATTACCAGCTTAGAAACCAGGAGCGGTGCCGTGTGAGGAGTCCTACGTGAGGGGAGATGTATCTTGCCGACCCAGGAACAAAGTAAGCTGAGAGAAACCAACTGGAAATGCAATCCTGATGCTATAACAGGAACACATAAAATCTCATTGCGGAAGCTGGATCCCGCGCCATTGGAAGCCGTGATTTGAATTTCCTGCTGCCGATACTGCGTCCCAATCCGCACGGCAGGGAGAGAGGCGTGCAAAAGCTCTGAGAGCGGGAATTGGCCCAAACGGCATTGAGAGCAGGACTGGCATGGAGCCCTGCATCGACCTGCAGTGAGTGAGAGAAATGGGGACCCTTTCATAAACTAGGAGGCTCCAACAGAGGACATTCTGGGAATGGGCAGACTAACCGGAACACAGCCTTGCAGTGACTTTAGTCACATATTCCCCTCTCAAGCAGGAGTGGTGGGGAGCGCTTGGCCTGGTGACACTGTGGACTAAGATCCTGTAGGCTAGCCCAAATCAGGTCCCTATGCCTGGCGGTGCACGCTAGCAGTGAAGCATTCAGTAGGTTGACCTGGAGGGGCAGGCCCAGCAGAGGCTGCCCAGGTCTGTGTCTCCCTAGTACACTGCAGTGGGCGGGAACACCTAGCGGGCGGATTCAAACAAACTATAACAGACAAAGAGAAAAAAAAAAAAAAAAAAAAAAAAAAAAAACTGGGCCTCCTACATATGCTTGTATGTAAGGAACAAAAAGTATGGGAAAAGGGAGCAACAAGAAAGGGTCCTCAGTTCCCAATCCTGAGAACACTGATCCAGGAAAGGTAAAAGCAAAAGAGAATGAAGACAGAAAACATGCAATGTCAGACAGGGCACCTATAGATATAAAACGGTATCTCCGGAGCCTCATAGACGAGTTCAAAAATGAAGTATTTAATGAAATAAACAAGAAATAAGTAGAATAGTTAGAGAAATCTAAGCACCGCCCAAGAAAAAACAGATGGTGGAATGGAAGAACAGAAAAAAAGGGGAGAATTGTTTGATGGAGAAAATAGAGATAACATAGAATAGGTGAAGCAGGTTCACAGAGATTACCAGGAAACTAAAAACTCTACTGAAAGCTGGCATAACAGCTTGAAAGAAACTAAGGATAGATTATCAGAACTGGAGGACAGATTTGTAAGGTGGGAGCATGAAATGAAAAACTTCTTAAAAATAACAAGAAAACAAACAGCAATAATACAAAGACTAGAAGATGATAAGAGGATTTATAACTTAAGAATTAAGAACATAAAAGAAGTAGGGACTCAAACAGATGAACTACAAAAGCTACTCACAGAAATAATCCAGGAGAATTTTCCTAATTTAGCAAAAGGTAAAGATAATCAGATATATGAGGCATATAGGACCCCAGCCACCTACAACCCAAACAGAGCTACACCCAGGCATATAATAAAATTCCAGAAATCCAATATAAGAGCAGAATATTAAAAGCCATCAGAGACAAGAAACAGATCACTTACAAGGGAACACCCATCAGAATTACAGCAGACTTCTCGGCACAAACCAACAAATCACGAAGAGCGTGGGGGGAAATAATTCAAGCTTTGAAAGATAATAACCTCCAGCCAAGATTGATATATCCTGCACAACTGTCCCTAGAAATTGATGGAAAAACAAGGTGCTTCCAGGATAAAGAGGAACTAGGGGAATTTGCAACCACCAATTCAACTCTACAGAGATTACTGCAGGATATTCTAAAAATGAAAAATACCAAGATCCCAGAAACAGTGGCAGAGCGGCCACAGTGAATGGAGCAGAAAGCGAAATGAAGAGGACAAACTGACAACTAGTGACAGAAAAAGAGCTCAACAGAAATGTGGCAGAGAAGGTTGGATGGTAGGAGCAGCCATTTTGGAGAAAACAGGACATCATAATAGGTAGTGCTGATTTAATATCCTCTTGAAGTCCCATCAAGCTTTTGTTCTTCTGTCTCCATTGGTTTTAACATGTTGTATCTTATTGGATTTTATTATATGTGATAATATAAACAAAAACTTTTATAGACAAGGAGATTATACAGAAACCATTGTTCATTTTCTGTTAGTTGATTCTAAATACCCTGTAATACTGTCATTCTTTTGACTGGTTTTACATTGTCTTGATATGTTTGATGCTACAGTATACGGAGTTATACCCAAAGATTTTAAGGGAAGAGACGCTATGGTAACTACTATTGTGTCGAGATTATCTTGTGGTGAAACACTATTTTGCTTAAATGGCTATGTTTTGACCTGCGCTATTTTGTTGTTATGCCCTCTTTTTTATCTCAATCTCCTTTTTATTATCTACTTTTTCATTTTTATCCTTTTAATTAAGGGAAAAATAAATAAAAAATAGCAGGATATATTATAGTAAGCCACTTTGATTTCCTATTAACTTTATTTGAAACTCTGTATTGCTCTCACCATCTTGTTTTGACTGATTTTCCTCTATTCTGTTATGCTAGATAGTACCAAGTTTGAAAGTCTAGGCAACTATGAAGACAATAAGATCCATTATGACGCCCATTCTGGTTGACTATTATCTTCTTTTGAAGTCCTCTAATGTTTCCAATGTTTTGGTTTTATTGGTCTTATTCTTTACTATTTTGTTCAATTTTATTATAACTGATGATATAGGCAATTCTTTTTAAGATAACAAGAGGCATTATGGTAACCGTTGTTGATCACCTTGTATTTTGTTTTTACATTATGTAATACGTCCATCCTTTTGATTTGACTGACTCTGTCCTGGTATGTCGCATTTGGTTTTACTTTCTTCAAAAAAAAAAAAAAAAAAGTAATAAGAACTGTGGGAGTAATAAATCCCAAAATGTATAATTGTCATTGTACAAAAGAAAGGAAAAGAAAGTTCTCTAAAAGATATAACTGCATATATATTTAAGTGTATAAGATAACCATATTACTGAGTTTTGTTGGATTATTGAACAAAACTGTTTGCAGTCTCACTGTTTGAAAGTTCCCTCTATATGCTTTAATTTTGTAATTTCAACAACTATTTCTAAGATGACAATATGTAATTAACTAGTGATTTCCTACTGTTTATTTTTTCTGAAATTCTGTATAACTTGTACCCTTTTTCTGTTTTTTTTTTCTTTTTTCTCCTTAAATAAAATTAAAAAAAATAAAAGTAGGAGCCTCAGTGTCTATGAAAGAAACTTGCCCTAGACCAGACACTGTAAAGCCCTGGAGGCAGAACCAAGGAGCTTTATCTTCCCACCCCTAGGAATTTGTCTCTGGCACGAAATGAATACCAACAGGCTACCTGCACATCGCTAATGCACCTCAGGCTCCACCCCAAACCTAAGCTACATGTATGCCCCCACTCCACGTGTCCTACAGAGAGATCGCCAGCCCCGGGGAGAGAATGCCAGACCCCAGAGGTCGGGGGTCTCTCCCTGCATTCTTAAAATAAAGGTCATTTATATTTCATACTTCTTATCTTTTCAGCCGCACCACAATTCTATCAGTCTATAGCTCTCCAAAGAGAAGCCTGGACGGCTCGAGTTGCTTGCAGAGGTGACAATTGGAGGAAACATCAGGGACTTGCAGTTGATGGGCCAAGACTCAATATCTGGGTAGAAATGTGGAGGGTGGGGAGAGCCAGGGACCAGGACCAGATATTCTTGGCCCTGAACAGTGGCTCCCAGAGTCCAGGGGGTGAGTGGGCCCCTGAACCTACTGACCCAGGAGGACAGGTGAGTGTATATACATGGGTGGTGAGTGACTGAATAAAGGGATGAATGAAGCAGAGGGAGCTGCTCATATGTTGGGGTGACTGGTCCCATGGAGAGTCTGGGTACTTGAGCTCTGGATGCAGAACCGGTGTGGAGGGGGCAGGGCAGACGGGAACCCTATATGTCACCGTGAGCACCAATCATCTCTGTGTCTTGGGGCCAAGTGGTAACATCCCCTCTTGGGCCCAGCACCTGATGGCCCTGGGCCATTTCTCCTTCTTCTAGCCTAGAGGAGGTGTGGGCTGTGTCTCAGTTCTCAGCCTGTGATCCTGCTCCACTGTGGCTGCTGTGACTGGGGCAGGGGCTGAGGGTGCAGGATGAAATCTCCAGGCTCTTTCTGAACTGATGCAGGATTTACAATGCAAATGGTGCTTTCCCAGGTTAACTTAGTTTACTGTCAACAGCATCTGCCACCACGGTTGAAACCTATCTGCCCTTCAAACAAGTTGTACACACGGTACACTAGTTCCTATGCAAAGTAGTGAGTGACAGAAATAAAACTTTATAATCAGGCTAGCACTCAAGAGAAGTTTTGTATCGGTCCTGACATTTTAGCTTTCAGGAGCATTATTTAGCATAGAGCAATGTGGGTAGAAGGCATCACAGGCTGTGGCTCCCCGTTTTTCTAAACAGAAATCCCCCAAGCCAAGGGTGCTGGCAGGAGCTCACTCTGCAGCACGAGAGTCCTCACTGGCCTGTGGCCTGGCTCACCACACCTGTGCTTTTCAGCCTCTCTTGGCCCAGGCTCAGTCCCCAGCCCACGCCCTCCACACAGGAAGACATGTTGCAGCCGGAGGAAGCTGACACAGCACACAATCCATAGAGTGTTCTTCCACTGATAAGACAGCCCTGAGACACTCTAAATATAAATGTCTGGCATAAAACAAGGCCCTCTGTCCAGGACAGCCCACTACAGACGCTTGTATCTTCAAAGTTAGCTAATAAAGTGGAACCAAGCATCTCCTGTCCACAACCGTCCAGCTTCAGCTCACCTACTACTAACTCCCTGACACAATGTGCAGGGTGGTGCTCAGCCATCGCTGTTTTACGCCGTGATGACCCCAGCAAAACTTGAGAATGTTACCGCAGCCAGTGTCCTGGTAAGTGAAGATTCTTGAGTCAGGGAGCAGGGAACTTGAGGCTCACTGGGTGTGGGCGGAGCTCCCAACTCAACCAGACGACCCAGGACCCCGAGGAGATCAAATTTCAAAGTGATTCTGGCCTCTTTTGTGTCAGACTTCAGGGTCAGGCCACCAAGCAGTGTTGATGGATCACAATCGCACTTGATAAAGATGCAATGTTTGTGGTAATCAATGCTTCACTGGGTGGAAGGAAGCCAAAACCTGTGCAGAGCATGCGGCCCACTTTTGTCTTTGCGGCTGAGGAATGCTGTCTTAAGTGAAAGCTCTCAACCCTAGGGCGCCCTGTAATTTAAGAGTTCTGCTTACAGAGATCAATTTCTGTAAAACTGCTCTGCTGAGGCTGAGCATCAAAACATGACCCCAGTTAAAACCAACACCCAGATGATCCAGGATGCTGCAAATCTGGGAAGAGTGTGTGCCCCCACCTCACTTCCTCAAATGGTCTGCACTGGACCTCCCAGAAGGGAAACTCAGAAAACAGTTGATAATGATGTTACAGTCAGATGCACAATGAATCTTAACTGTGCTTTGATCACGATGTATCAGCGGACAGAGAAAGCTGCTGTCAGGCAGGTACAAGTGTGACTATACGTGCGAGACTGGTAGCAGATGGACCTCAGAACCAAAGATCCATTCAGTTATGCAAGAGAAGGACTCATGCACTTTGTGCTTGTGTTGATTTTTCAAATTAAACATCACAAGGGTTTCAGGAAGGGCTGCTCTTACTCACATATCATCCATCCATCTGCACCCAGGCCAGCAAAGTGCTACTGAGATACTTTAATGAACCAGGATATGGGCCCAGACACTGCATAATCTGCTGGTTATTTATTGTTTTATATTCCATTTTGGAAAACTTTCTGATCATCACATTTCATTGCTACAAAATCTATACCTTTGAAATTAATTTCAGCAGAGGTTAATCTCAATAATTATTTTAAAAATTCATAGTGTTCTAAGATATTTCAAACTACTTGCAAAATGAAGAATTTCTGCTTGCCACACCATGTCTGATTTTGAGATTTGGGATAGTATACATATTGGTTATAAAAATAGAGATTAAAGGCCAGGAATTTAGCTCAGCAATGTAAGTGCTTGCCTGGCAAGTTCAAGGTTGAGAGTTCAATCTCCAGTACAAAAAAAAAAAAAAAAAAAAAAATGAAATTGATACAGAAAAAGAAAAACACATCATGTAGATGTAGGGGAAGGAGACAGGAAGAGAAATAATAGGACAAAGGCCTCAGTAAGCTTTTAGCTAATACTGATTAGAAAGAGTTAAAGCTTCACTGAGGAAACAACTATCAAGGCAAAGAAAAAGCTGGTAAGCCAGGCAGGTGCCCTAATTCAAATTCAATGGTTAGGTTCAGTGTTGACCTCATGGAGAAATTTGACCTGGTTCTTGTCGGAATCTGTTTGGACCAGAATCATGGAAAGAAACAGTTGGTGCATGATCAGCACCAATGCAATCTTCCCCAAATACTTTCTCTCCCCAATTGGTTGAATCTAAGGATGCCAAACTGTGGATATCAAGGCTGAGAGTCTATTTGAAAAGGCTTTCCCTACTTACCATGTGCTACCAAGTGCATTTTACAGCAAAACAAAAATAAAAACTTGAAAACATAAACAAAAATCTTTCCCATTTCGCAAAGCTATACGGAAAATTTACATGCACCGTCTGTGTCAGGCCTTTGGCAAAGGCAGCACAGCAGGGGAGGTGACACTGTGGGGAAAGGAACACACCTGCGTGCCCTGGCCATGCTGGCCTAGAACCCCAGATCCTGCTGGGGCTCCGGGTCTGGGGGGTGCAGAGATGGGAGGCGAGGCCTGGTCAAGTCTGTGGGAATGGAACCAGCAGGACACAGGAGCAGGAAGGGAAGCCCAGGAGCCTGTGTCAGTGTTGCCTGTACATCCTTGTCTAAGGGGCCAAAGCTCATAGCAAAGATGAGGCACCGTGCAGCTTAGCAGAGGGACAAGGCTGCTCAGGGCTGGGCACAGAGGTTGCACAGCGCAAGATACAGGGCTCTGGTGCACATAAGCAAGGAGCGCCCGAGCACAGAGCCAGGGAGCGCGGGGGCTCAGCGAGGACCGCGGTGGCGCAGGCGCCCCAGAGCAGAGGGAAGAAGAGAGGAGGACGGTGGGTAAAACAAGGCCTCAGGGGCTGCCCGAATCTCAAGGACACAGACATCTACTCTAAAGTGATGCCTCAGAGACACACTCAAGACAAAGCAGCGAAAACGTGGACAAAAGTGAACCAGGGAACATTCCGGAAAGAAACACAAAGCCAAATGCAATTCTGCAACTGGAAACTGTATGTGTCTTTCACTGATTTATCTAAACCATGATCAAAATGGTAGGAGGAAGATAAAAATGACCAACTCCTTTATTCACAGTGACTGTCTAGAAAAAACTGAGCTTGGTTGCACAAATGCATAATAGAAAAAAGAAAAAATGTTTACAACACCAGCAAAAATAATCTTCGAGACCTAGAGTGAGTTAGCTCCATTTTCCAATTAAAAAAGAACAATTTGAAATAACTCATGGCTAGCAGATAAATGCAACAAGAAATGCTAGAGGAAGTTGTTCAGGCCCTAGAAAACATATCAGTATCAAACTGAAATCTATAGACAGGCACAAATGTTAAATAGTAAGCATGTGGGTAAATAAAATCGAGGTCTTACTTCTAAAAATAAAAATTTTAAAAATGAACCACAATGCATACTAATAAGACAGAGAATGATGAAAAAAGGTACAGAAAAGTGACACACAGAGTATTTGTTGCATCTTGCATTGCACAAAGATGGCAAAATCTTGATTTTTAGTCTCTAAATTAAGGATGAGGCAGTAATCTCTGAGCAGCTAACATGTAGCACTACACGGTAAAGTTAAAAAGCAAGAACAATTTAAACAATAGGATTTCTAACAAATAACTAAGTTCAAAAGAAGGAAAAAGCAGGAAATGTGAACAAAGAAATAAAATGGAAACAAAACAAAAAAATGACATATTTAACTCCATCATATTAAATATAAAATGATTAAATATTCTTTTAAAACATCAGAGATTGTTCAGTTGAACAGAAAAAGAAACATCAAATAAAAGAATGCTCACAACACAAATGTTGTATATAAGAACACAAATCGATAGTAAGAAGATTACAAGTAAACATTCAAATAATGTTCCCAAATAAAATATGTGGCTGCACGCACATCAGGTAAAATAGAATTCAAGAAATACAACATGACTAGAAGTATTTTATAACCATAAAAGAGTTGGGAGGTCATAATAGTACCAAGTATGAATGCGCCTGTATATGGAGGTTCAGAAACACAAAACAAGAACAGTAGAATGAAAGGGAGAGAAGGAAAAGTCCAGGAGATTTTAGCTTGTGCTTCCGTGGAAGAGATCAGAGGCAGTAAGCACTTCAGAGGGCATGGAGACGTAAGAAATATTAGCAATTAGAAACAGTTGTTTCCGGAATGCTCGAGTCACTGTAGAATTCACACCCATGTGCCCACGACTCTGTGGAAATAAGCTACATCTTCATTGAGATGCTGGTGACAAGGGTGCAGATGTTTATCAGAATTTAAATTTTAGACATAAATATTTCACTGTGTGAAAAATATTTCTTCAGTAATAAAAAGACATCTTGCAATTGACTTATTGTCTATATTTTCTAAATGATATTAGGATACCATGAATTGTGTAGTCTATGGGCACAAAGTAAGATAATCTGAGGACTGGAACAACAATCTAGAATATTCCATCTTTAAAAGAACACATCAGTGTTATACCTCTTTACCTTAAAGAACACAAGAGTAACCCTCCCAAGCAATGTCTCAGGGAATTTGTATCTTCTGCTCACTACAGGAGCAACACCAGGAAAATGCAGATGCCGGCCGACTTCATAATCCTTGCTCTGTGTGGGGATCACCCAACCCAGAGGTAATCAGTGCTGCTGGCATGGGGCCCAGTTTGACTCTCGGGTCAGACTCACTTGAGTTTAGAAGAAAGAAGGTGAACCTGCTGGGGCTAAGTCAGGAACACTCTCAGTGTGCCCCAAAATGTTGGGGGTTTACTGGAGGAACGTGTGTGTGTGTGTGTGTGTGTGTGTGTGTGTGTATTTGCTTGATTTCATTATAAAGTAGAATAGAAGAGGCCTCAAAACTAGTTACTTTCTTTGATTTATGAGTAGCTTTCCTTGTGGTTCAGCAGAGCAAGTTCTAAATCTCTGATTTCCCTGTCCAGCAAGAGCAGATGTCTCTTTTTAAATAGAAAATCGCCCGGAGGGGGCCACAGGAGAGCATCCCTGGGGTTGATGCAGAAGATACCACCTTCCAGGAGAAACCATGCTATAAATATTTTATTGGGGAATTTAATATTCAGAAGTCCCAGGTCAGCTGCTGCTTTCTAATACAGTAAATTATGCTTATATTTTAATACTATTCGAAAAAACACGCAGAGTATTAATTTGCAAACTGACGCCAACTGAAAGTTATTGCTGAGCTCCCATGTGATAAATCAGGAAGAAAGGTCTAATCTGCCAGGCCAAGTTAATTCTCAAAAGAAAGCTGATACCCACAGCAGTATCTACCGTCATCTTCTCTGCCAGAGAAACATGTGTTTCCTGTTCCACAGGACCGGCCCTAACATGCGGGGTTTGACATCTGGTAGGCAACCAACAATTGCAGAATACATCAATGTCAGTTCCGCAAAATAAAACAATCTCGTGAATCCTGCTGCACGGAGCCTCTGCCAATAATCACTTGCCTTTTTAAAGTCCAGCATGCAGAGCTTGGCTTTCTCTCCGAACTGCCACTTGCACTGGGTGTTAGCGTCGTATAACTCTCCCGGCAGCTGCTCAGGGTATTTGTACTCCTTGCCGGGCTTGGGCTGGTCAGCGAGGCATGTGGCTTGCGCAGTGCTGAAACAGAGGAGATGCAGTTACTAGCGATGGCCGAAAGTGTTCCCAAAGACACCAGTCAGTTAGGCCTCTCGTCCTAATGCAACTCTGCAATATGTCTTATATAAGAAGAAGGGAAATTTTTCTCCTGAAGTCCAGTGTAATCTTTGGCTTAACTGTATTCAAACACAGGGGCTGCTTTTTTCCTGAAATTGTTTATATTTTACCTTTTCCAAGAAGCCTATTTGTTCTTCCTACAGGATTATGTGGGAAAGTGAAACTGAATAATGACAACCAGATGTTCAATGTGAGAAGATCCTGTTACAGACACCTTTACGTGTACTTCTAGCAAGAAACAATTACAAGATGGAGCTGGGAGTTGTAACAAAAAGACTAGAACTACTTTCCCTTCCCTGTTTGATTGTGTCAAATCTGGTGGCATGAACAGCTATTTGAAACATAGCAAGGCATGTTATAATAGCCGTTTTGAATTTACTCTTAGCTTATTTTGAAGTCCTTTGTTGCCCGCTTGTTTTGTCTTTATTGTTTCTATTCTATTCTGCTCTGTTCAATTTTTACTATGTCTGAAGGTATCTGCAGCTACTTCGAATACAACAAAAGGCATGATTGTAACTTTTGCTGTTTTTGTAAGGTTTTGAAGTCCTATATCACTTATACTACTTTATTTTGATTGGTTTTATTTTGTTCTATTTTCTTTGGTTTTATCCTCTTTAAAATAAAATAATAAATGAGGAGGAATCTGATGATCACAAAGTAGTAACTCATGACTCGCATCCCAGGAAGTTAAAAATCTGGTGGAACAGAGATGGAGCACATGGGGGAGGGTGGTAAGCATGAGAGAGAAGGGCGGTGACAGCCAGGTGCTCCCCAGGCTCTGTCCTGACCTGGGACAAGTTATGCTACTGTGACACTAACACTCGGGGCTTTCCTCTATGTGTCTTACACCAAAACAAAAATAATGCTGACAGAAGCAGGAAGGCAAGGTCAGAATGACACTGCAAAACCCTTTTCCACTCTAAGCACTGAATATGTCCTTAGAGCTGGGGACATCATTTAGTTGCACCCCTTCATTTTCCAAGCAGGAAAATGGGAATCCCCAGGAAAGGTTAGATTATTTGCTGACTCCAGTGCCTTCCCAGAGGAGAATGCTAGATCGTGATCAACACGCCAGTCCTCCGCCTCGCTTTCCCCCCATCATTCTGTACCCTTTTCTCTCTGTCAGAAGGGTGCAGAGTGTAGCAAGGCACCCAGACTCCCCTGAGACTCCAGCTCCCTGTGACGGTCACATTTCTGGGGCAATGAGCCATGTAGACTCATGAGGCGGAAGGAGGCACATTCACGGATCTGTGTGACCGGAGTCCAATGTCTGAGAGGCACATTGAAGACGAGTCCACGTTGCCATGAAATATAAAACAGTGAGCTAAACTTTCCCTAAGTCGCAGACTTCCTGGATGCAGATGTGAGGAGCTGTGCTAGGTTTGCATTTGCTAACAGGAAGTGACACCCAGCATCACTGGCTGGGCTGGTGGGTTCCCCATACGCCCATCAGTCCTCCATGGCACCACCACCAAAGGAGAGAAGCTGAGCTGATGATTTCAGGCCACTTGACTTCTTTCCTATACATATTTTTCCATCTGCCACACAGTGAACTGCTAATGAAGAAGAGCAGATTCGTCCTTTACAGCTAGCTGTCTTTCTTACTCATGGCTGGGATCATATCCAGATGACCATTTCACTGGTGGAAGATATAACAGTATTTTGATTACTTGGAGATCAGGAAGCTGACCAGCAAGGCAGTTTCAGATGCATTAAGCCAGTGAGCAACCAAGGCTTAACTCTCTGCAGCAGGCCAGTGTGCCCCGGGTTTCCAAGCAACATAAACCTTAGCAGCAAGTTTGATGAGAAGCTTCCTTGAAAATTTTAATTTTGGAAGGAAACAAATTTGTGAGGATGCTGGCTGTTCCCACGTTCTTGGGGGTCAGTAAAGAGAGGTCAGTTCCAGAGTCCAGGGGTCTTGGGGTTTGTTTTGTTTTGCCAGGCTGCTGCCTCTGGGCTTGAGCATCTTCCCTGCAGCAGGATCTGGGAAGGGCGATGGCCCAGAGACAGCTTTACCAATCCCACCTGCCTGCTCCTGAGCTCCTTTGTCCCTACACTCTGGGGCCATGGTCTGAGCCTCCCTGCGGGACACCACTGTGCCCACTCTGTCTCACCCCCTGCTGGCTGCAGGGGAAGGCCAGCTCTTAGTCGTGGGAGGAGCCCCAGATGCTCAGAACCTGGTCTGCACAGCACAGGTCTTCCTGGCGTGCCCCGAGCATGCCATGGGTCAGAATCAAAGTTGGTTTAAGGTCTGAAGCAGCATTTAAACTCAGTCAGTGGGATGCACAGCGCTGCCCACCTAACTAGACCTACACATAGTTCTCCAAGCCTCTTCTTCCTCTGAAATTAAATTAAAATCTAATTAAATTGAAACCTGACAACTTCTCTATCCCCAGTATCCTATATACAAATGAAATATGTTTTAGTAAAGCTTTCTAAAACACCTTCAGTAAAATTTAAAGGTTTAGAGTTGGGAATAAGATTTATATACTCAAGGTTTCTCATTAAAGGAAAAATGAATTTTCATAAAAAGATGGGGGTTAGTTCTCCTTGATCATTCTGTATCCAGAAATATACACACTAGGCCTTCCTTTCTTTGGAATTAATTAACTATATGTTGGTATAAAAGTGAAAAATTTAAACCAAAATTAATGTAAGTGCCAAACACTTTGGTTTGAGTGCTTCAGGGGCTTCTGTTGGGTCCACAGGTCAGCATTAACCTGATCCTGCGGCCTCTCTGTCACCTAGAGTGTAGTGAACTCCATGATCACAAGGACACTTGAAGCCATCTTTGGAGGGGACCCCTGTGAAAACCACACCCTGAGCGCACACCCAAGGTGAGGCCCGCAGTGAGTGACGCCAGCTGAAGGAATGCCTACCTCAAAAATTTGTGCAGATACTGGCGGCTGCAGGGTGACCAGGAGAAGACGCCGTTGCGTCCTGCCAGTGTTGGGGACATGATGTTGCCCTCTGACTTTTTGCACATGTTCCCTTCTCCATCATGGACCATACCGAAGCTGCAGGAGAAAGAGAGAAATGGTCACTTCAGAGCAGGGCAGAGCTGGAAGCCTCCAGGGCCCTCTTCCAAGTACAGGTCAGGAGGACTGGCACAGCCTTGAAGGCAAGGTGGCAAAAGGTTGAGGGTGTGTGATCACGTGCTCCAGGGCTGTCCCGGGAGTAGGCCATTCACGGAAAGGTCTGCAAGCATACTGGGTACAAACCCGTGGGGTGGGGAGAGCGTCTCTTTTGTGATCTTGAAGCTAATGTGCTCTGTGCCTCTTCTCCCCTCTGTGCTCCCCTGTAACGAGGGCCTCCACAGCTTTCTACAGTGTTCATTAAAACTACAGAAGTCAGGTTCTCAGCTAGGCACTGCTGACTCAGAACAGAGACCAGACATCTGAGCTCGGCACATAAGCTCCCCATCTGTGTGCCCTGGGCTGGAGCTGGAACACTGCCCTACGCAGCCCCACACTATGCCTCCTGCTGGGTCTGCAGTGCTGCAGCCGGTGAGAGCTGGGCACCCTGTGAGCTCTTTACCTGAACTCCCCTGTCCCTCTGGAGGGGACATCTCCACAGGAGCCCAATGGGTGAGCACGGCTGGGTCCGCCTCTGGGCACTCAGGCTGCACCTGTTTCTCATTGTCAACCAGCCTAGTTTGGGGCTCCAGCCCTGGCTTATTGAATAAAGATGCTTTTAAAACAGACTTTTAGAGATGCCTGCATTTCACAGGGCCAGTTGCATCCCCGTCCTGAAAACCGCAGCCCAGCACCTGCAGATGCACAGTGACCTGGCTAAGACCCCTTTTCACCAAAGCCTGTGTTGCTGCGTAACTTACTAAAGCATCGTTTACAGGAGAGCCATGCTGCCACTGTTAGCTCTCCTAGGGGAGACATGACACCTTGGCAGGAAAGCCTGTGGGACATGGGCGCTCCCTGCGGCCTTGTGAGCAGGTCCCTGGAGACCCATGCCACTGATGTCTGGTGTCTAGGAATGGCCTGAGAGTGATCCCAGAATTAAGGAGACAGACAAGAAAGGGAAAAGCTCGTGAGAGAGGAAGAAAAGGACAGGTGGTTACTAGATCTGAGGCCTTTTGCTACTGACAGCCCTGGAATGAGTGGAGAGGGGAAGCAGGGAGCCAGGAAGACACCCGCAGGGGAAGCGGGCTCCAGCAGGGGTCAGGAGACTGTGTGTTGCTGAGGCTGAATTTGCCCCCTTACCTGCTTTACTTAGAGCTGCACAGCATGCGTGAGTACTAGTGAACGCCTGAGCACTCGCTGCTCACAGCAAGGTGTTAAGCATGTGATGTCTTCGAACTTAAATCACGTTTCACCCCCAGAAGGGAGGAACAATGCAAGGGATAATCACAAGACTGGGGGCTACAGATGGGCAAGACCAGAGCCTGGACACTGGGCAGCCAGGGCCAGGCAGGTCCCCTGCAGTGGCGGAGCCTAAGCAGGACTGAATGGTGTCTCCAAGGAGATCTGGCATGCAAATATTGTCCAGTTTCTGCAAAATTCCTGATCAGTACCGAGGGTGATGTGGATGTGGTCATTTTAACCTCCACCCACGCTCTGAAGTTCTATTAAAGGCCATTAATCAACGCCAAGGCATCCATATGGTACAGGAAATGTGTCATGGTTGTGAAAAGGATTCGGGCTGAAATCCCAGATGAGAGCTGCCCTGGAGAGAATGCATGGAAACAAAATTCCAAACCATTCTGGCCCGGCTGGCCCTCGGCCTGGTCACGAAGAAGATGTGTATTGATCCAGCAATTGGCCTTGATAAAGTTATTAACATTTCTGCCCAAATTTGCAAGGAAATCAAAATAGTAATGCTCCAGGTCTGTGCATACCAGTTTTTAAATGTTTTCATTAAAGGTATTTTCTGTGATTTTTTCCCAGCATCAGGCCTCAAACTCTGCTACGCATACCCAACTCTGAGAAATACCATGTGCAGTGTGGCGAGCTGCAGCCTGCCCTGGTAGATTTTTGATACAGTAGTAGGTGGGGGGTTAGTTTTATGGCTTGTGTCTTGATGTCCCCACAAAACCTCATGCAGTCATAGGTGGAGCTTTTTCAGAGGTGGTTGAATTTGTAGTTCATGACTGATTCATGGTGCAATGCTGGGATTAAAGGTGCTAAGATTAAGGGTGGGTGATTACGAAATCAGGCCACTGATTGGCTTGCACTGCCCTAATCCTGGCATCCAAGATACAGTATAACATGATCGGAAAGATGCTGTTAAAATCTCTTATTTGTATTGCTAACTTCAAGCCATCACCTTCTGCCACCCTACCTTGGAACCCACTGATTATGCACTGAAACTTCTACAAACAATGAACTAAATAAACCTGCTCTCCCATAACTTTGGTCATTGGATTATTTTGTCTCAACAGTGAGAAAAGTAACTAAGGCAGAATCTGGCAGCCAGCAGTATTCTAATTCATCCGCGAGAATTCTTAGAGCTATCAAATCTCGGCACCACTGACCCACAAGGGGTGTTTCCACCTATTCCACCACTCAGATGGCGGCACCTCAGCACAAAATGACCCCCTGGGGATCACATTTAACAGTCGTTAACATCAGCAAAGTCATGGAAGAATGAGTGGAACACATCTTGAAGATAAGTTTGGTATTTGGCCACCAGAAATATAATTGCTGTTTATTTCACACACACACTAGATAGAGTTTTGTTCTTGTGCACTAAAACCCTATTAAAATAGCTGTCACCCAATATGATAAAACAATGAATGCATTCCACCTTCAGCCATCTGTGAGTCTCCGAGGGCCTGAGGCTTCCCTTTGCATCCCTGCAGCCCCTCCCAGCAAGACTGACCAACCACAGCGACTGCTCCTGCTCGCTGGCTGAATAAAAGGCAACCCTTTCAGCCATGATATTAACTCGAGCCTTTTCGAATGTAAACCCAAATTTGGATTATATTGGATCTGATAATTACATCTATTGATAGATGCTTTTAAAGTCCCCCACAGTGCTTTTGGAATAGTTCAAACACTGCACGTATTTTATTCATTACTAATAAAATTCCCACCATGATGATGTAATAGTTTCTATCTAGATGTCCCTCACGAGTCTCACGTATTCATAAGTGAGCCTCTGGAAGGCAATTGGGTCAGAGGTGTTTATAGTTGACTTGCCCTTAGGAGCTAGATCTGGTCAGAAGAGGTGGGTCCCTGAGGTGAGGCCTGGAAGCCTCTGTTTCCCTCCCAGGCTGGCTCCTTTCTTGTTGTGTCTGCTGCTTGGTCACCATGCCATGAGCTACTTCTCCTCCATGAACAGCTCTCCTCCACCATGATTCTGTGCCTTGGAGCCAGCCAACCACACAAAGGCTGAATCCTCTGCAAACTGTGAGCCAAACAGCTTTTCTGCCTTTCAATCACTGGGGTCAATGCTATGTCTCAGTGACCAGGAAAGTGACTAAGACACTCAGTCATGTGGCTGCAGAGGCTGAATCAATTATTTCAGTCCATTCAGACTGTATGGCTAGGGAAATGTGACACCCATCGAAGAACCATGGGCCAGCACCACCAGGATGGTGACTGAGGGTGGAGATGCCCACGGCCCTGGCTCAGGCTCCCTGAGGGCCTCAGCTCATCCCCCAGGAAGGCAGGAGACTGAGATGCAGGCAGCAGCTAGAGGGGAATCAGGAGACCAGAGGGGCCCTGGCTGGAGAGCACAGGGCTGGGAGGGTGCGAGACCCAGCCAGGACCTGCTGGACAGTGGGCAAATTATCTACACCAAGCCTCACTTTCCTCCTGTGTGAGATGCCGCAATAAAACTTCCTCCATGGGGGCTGGGGATTTAGCTCAGTGGCATAAGCGCCTGCCTTGCAAGCAGGCAGTCGTGAGTTCGATCCCCGGTACCGACAAAAAACGAAAAAGACAAAAAAAAAAAAAAAAAAAACTTCCTCCATAAGGTACACAGAGCACATGGCACCATGTGCTTCGTAAAGAGGAACGCAGAACTTCTGCCCCTTAGCACACGGAAGTCATTCCGGTACACACGGTGGGGTGGGGGCTCCTCAAAGGCCCAAGGCCAGTCGGTTTTAAGTACTTTTGAGCATATAAACAGCAAGAACTCTTAATAACAATAATCAATACAAATGGTTAGAACAGATGCCCGGGTGCTAGAGTCCTGAGGGCAGTGTGACAATCCCAAACAGGAGTTTTAGGCAAGAGGTCTTCCCAGCACCCTCCGAATACTTTATGTCACTAAGTGCCCCCCTGACCCATGGAGGGCACACAGTCACACACTGTGAGACGCACACATCACTGTCAAAAGTGGCTGGCATCTGGAGACTCTGGGAAGGATGGCTGACCTGCAGAGAGCTACCGCTTAGCCCAGGGCCATGCCCTCTCTGATCCTTTCTAGAAGTCTCAGCTGCCTGCCCCGGGGTGGGCTCCACACAGCCCTCACCCCTTCATCCCTCCCCTGGTGTGACTACTCTGCTCTCTTCAGTCTTTTTGAAGGCGTGAATCCCCAGGCTTCAAGAGATGCCTACACAGTGTCTTGCTGAGAGAATGCAAATTGGGCCCAGTGGACGTCATGTGCCACAGAGGCAGGGAAAGGCAAGAAACAGCACAGCAGATGTGTTTTGGGGTGTCTCGGAGGTCTGACGCGAGAACGCAGGGAGGTCCTGAGGTGTGCAGCTCAAACACCTCTGCTCCCGCTGTGGTGCATGGGAGGAGTGCGCTGAGGAGTCTGCCAGCTTTATGGATGGAAAATGTACACAAGGGCCGGCCTGGGTCAGGCCCAGCACTCCACACTGTGAGGGGAGGCAGAGTCCAGGGGAACCTGAGTCCCACAGGGCTGCTCAGCTCGCAGCATGACTTCCCTTAAGTGGGATCTGTCGCACAGATTCGGGCCCGGACTTTGGAAATGTGTGGCTCAGCCCTTGGCATTTCTGTGCCAAATCTTCAGTACCTGCACTGGGCAACTGTATGTCCAAGTCTAGTGCTTTAATGTAAGCAGGAAATTCCTTCAGCTGCTGGCAATAGAGCCATCCAGGCTCAGGCCTGAGTGCACAAGGAGAAAAGAAAGCACACCTTGCTTCCAGCCCCAGCATCAGATCCAAACACTTGCTCCTGACCATTGCTCTCTGCATGAAGCACAAGACATTTTAAGATGGGAACAAAGGGACTCAACAGAAGGCCCACTGGGGGGACGTTAGCGGAAACCTTGCTTTGACTCAAAGCTTCAAAGATGCAGTGACATGGAGGGAGAGGCAGCCTCCACCCCAACAGTGGCTTCTGCCTGTGATCAGAACTCAAGAAGGAAATTTCACCTTCAAAGCAGGACACTTTACAGGTCTTTCATAGTAAAAGTGCCACGAGATACAAAATCACTTTCTTAATTCTTAAATTATAGAAATCAAAAGTTTGACACTCCTTGCAGCTGACTGCCAAAGCTAAAGCTATGCAGTATATGTCATGGTGTTTCACCAGGCATCAAAAGTAATACTTTTTCAAAACAAATACTAACAAGTAAATAACCTCACCAGGTGTGCAGCCCTCAGTTCAATTAAAAACTTTTATGAAATTGAGTTCCTGAGTCTTGTATGCTGCTGCTTTGTCATCTGAGAACTTCCTTGAAAGCTCAATTTGTACTTGCACACGTGCTCACGCCCTGCCCACTCGTCCCCCATTCTGGCAGATGCACCTGCTGGGCACACCCACCGCCTGGTCTTCCTCAGATGGGGAAGGCAATGGAAGGGATCATCATGGTCATTTCTACACTGCAGGCTCCACAGGCTTCACAAAGATGCAAGCCCAATTTATATTAAAAAATAAGTGATAGGAAGGACGGAGATCTTCTGCAGATTAGAAGGGGCCTGGGAGAGAGGAAGGGGTAGAGAAACAGGAGATGGAAAGACAGCTGAGACGCGTCACGCACAGCACAGCTCCCCAGGATAAATGTGTCATGCACCACACACAGGGTGGGCCACAAAGATTGTTACTATTACCATTGCCAGATTATTAATATTGTATTGCTGTGACACTCATTTTAAATACATGAACGCATGTTTCCTGGATTCTCAGTGTCATCAGAAACTATTTTACGGTGACTCAGCTCTTCAGAGCTCCCTGTTCTGCCTGCTGCACAAGCTCCTTCACACACTAGAGGTGCAAAGGGGATTCGTGACCCCCACAGACCAGTGCTCCCTCCCAGAGAGGGGCTCCCCTCCCTTGGTGTGCAGCACCCCTTCCTCTACCCTCCACTCCAGTCCCACGTTCAGGGAAAATACCTTTTCCTTATTTGGAGCAAATTCTTTATCCATCCAGACCTAGTCTGGGTGAGGAACAGAAATATTAATAATTGACTCCTAAGAAACACAAATGCCAGCACTCACATGGGCTGACTCCGAGACTCAGAGCAGGTCTGGTTCTGGTGGATTGAGTTGAAGTTTACCTGAGTCCACTGGCTGTGTGGCCAGCGCTGCCAAGGCCCCCATCTCAGCTGCTCCCCGAGCGCTGATGGGCTCAGTGCTGGGTGATTGAAATATTTCTGCCTTGATTGTTTAATTAAATTCAGGTATGGTTCAGAGGACAGCAAAAGCCTCATGTCGTTACAATAATGAAAGTTTTTGAAGTTTTAACTCTAGCAGACTATTAAAGCTCTAATCATGACTTAACCGAAAGCCTTATAAAGTGCAGGACAATTTTTCAAGCAATGAAATAGTCAATCATTACCTGTGATGACTAAAGGATCAGAAATGGGACACAAAGCCTCCTTTTCAGGCCACCAGTTCGCCCAGAGCCAAAGCCCGCAGGTTCACTGTGGTATTCAGTGGATGGAAGCACACGTGCACACACGTGCGTGCACATGCACACTCACATCCATGCACCGATGATCCGATCTATCACCTCAGTCAAACGTCCAGTAGAGAATGGAGACATCGGCTTTGCAAAAACACAATTGCAGCTACTGCCTTCATTTTCCTGTTGCCAGTGAAATCAGGTTGAAAGTAAAACCAAAAAACAAAACAACCAGGAGAGCTGGGATTCCTATTTGTACACAATTCTAGAAATTTCATGGACAGTCAGCATGGCTGGCAAGTACTTGCATTCCTCCTGTGTCCACATGGCCGGAGGTCTGCAGCAGCTTGGGCGGCCACAGGGCCCTTAATTACATTAAGAACAGTGCCTCAAGTTTAAGTCAGCATGCAGAATTATCAGCCGAAACATTTTATCTATGAATAAGGTTCCATGAAAAATGACCAGGCAGGTTTCGTGTTATGGGTATCGATGTGCGATTTTCTTATTCAGAAAAGACATCAAGCACAGTCACACCTTCTGTTCTGCACGCTGCCTGCCCGGGACCCTAAGACCCTCTCCGCCAGGCTGAGCTCAGGGCACAGGGGATGCTGCCTCACCGCAGAGCCACCAAGGCTGACACGGGGTGGAACACAGGCAGGAAAACCAGCTCCTTCTGGGTCTGATCTTGCCAGCACCCGGGCTCCCCACGCCCTGCCCATATCAAAACACAATATCCCTGCAAATTCTTAAACACAAACTTGGGAGTCACAGCAGTTAGCAAGGGGAGTTAACTGTCCTGGTTTATTTGGAGACCCCGATAGCACCCTACTGAAGAATGAGATGAATCTACAGAACTGGGTTCAAACCACAGCAAAAGGGACAGAGACAGACACGACTGACCGCAGCCTTAGGCTCCGTGCAAGCAGAACATCTGAGATGGTCACAGAGACGGAAGTGTGACTGCACACGCACACACACACACACACACACACACACACACACACTGCTCTGGGTTTAACACACGCAAGGCACTGTGACCGAAGGTCAGGGTCTTGGGGACAGGGTCTGGTCACTGCCTCTGTGGCTGGGAGTCCGGGAATCCCTTCCATGGACTCGTCCCAGTGCCTGGGTGTTAACCTGTGCTGATGGCCAGTTAAGAGAGGCTCTGGGCTCCCCTCCGGGGAAGTGGACTCACTTGTGCCCGGACTCGTGGGCGATGGTGAAGGCCAGGCCAAGTCCCGTGTCTTCGTTAATGGTGCAGCTGCGGTACCTGCTGCACATCCCGCTGATGGGCGCGAACCCTGGAAGCACAGAGACTGATGTGAGAGGGGTGCTCATCTTCTCTGGGGGAGATGGGAAGGGGGAACCCTGGGGTATGCATAGAAAAGGTGGGAAAGAACGGTGGGAAAGAGATCTTTTCCCAGCGTCTCTAGGAGTCCTAGGAGTCTTTTTTCTCATGCAAACAATCCATGGATCTATGCGGTACTCCTGGCTCAGGCTAGCACTGGGCCAAAATACAAGAAGGAATTTACTGCAGAGGGAGGAGAATTTCTGCCTCTTTCTATAAGCATCTGTGTCCTTGAATGCCTGAGGGAAAAAGCCTTTGGAGAATGGCTATGTCGGGAGGTCCCCACGACCAGCTCCACATTCAGCTCAGCAATTTGCATTCGTGACAAGGAACTCTCTGTGACTGTCACAGAGATGGTTTCACATGGCAAAAGGATACAGAGAAAACCAGCAAGGAGAGTCTTGGGGCAGCTTGGGAAAGCCCGGCTGCAGCTGCGGGCTCGCCTCTCAGGAACTCACGCTGCGTGAGCCACCTTCCCCAAGCAAGGGGCTGGACAGCACGTGCAGGGGTGCTGACCCGAAGTGTCTAAGCCTTCATCAGAACTGCCCACCCACAGTCCCCTGTACCCCAAAGCTCCAGGGTCCACAAGCAAAGTAGATGGTAGGCATAAGTCTCACGACTTGGACAGTTGAAGCACAGGGGTCTTCTCTTATCACGAAGGGAGGGAGGTGACAACCATCCCCAAAGCCTATGTCCCTGAAGCCGCCAAAGGTACCCTTGAAGTCAGGGTGAGCAGTAGGGCTGCTGTAGCTTTTCCTGAACTACGGGGCTAATGTGTCTAGTACAGGACCAGACTGAAAGTGTTATAACAAAACAACTTCCTCCCTGAACTTCGGGAACAGAGAAGACAGGAAAGTTGCCTAAGCAGTCCTAGTAACCATGGTGCTCCTTTCCCCAAGGACCAGCCTCCCCCACGCAGGCAGGGGCTCTGTAACTGAGCTTCAGTACCCGTAGCACTCTCTTTGCACTGAGCATTTGGGAAGTGCCCAGAGTGCTGCCCTCAGGGTACTGCCTCCATAAGCACCTAAAACACTGCTTAAAACAGAGACACTGGTAGAGAAATGGGAACACCACACCTCTGTAGACTCTCCGGAAATATTTGTAACTTCGGCTACTCTCGGCATAGAATTTAACACGCCTGCATCTACTGTTCCCATTCCCAAAGGAAAAACACAGGGAAGAAGGTCTGCTTTATAGCCGAAGACACAGAAATGCCTGGCTCCGGGAAGAGCTTTGCTTTGCTCCTTAGTAACCCAGCTGCACCCATCCCATCCTACAGATGAACTCAGGGCCTCACATGCGAGGGGCAGAACCACTCCTGACAAGTCAAAGCATTCTCTTGCGTTTAGCCAGAAAGTTCACGCAGAGAGCAAGTCCCTTCGCAACTGTCCCCTGCAGTCACTACGACTAATGCACGTGGGCAGGCACAGAAACACTGAGCCTCCTCTGGCCCCACCACAGGGTCCCCACACGCAATCCTGCTGCTCCCTTGGAGGGACTTACCCAGAGTGTCACACGGCTCATTCTTCCACGAACATATGTCTAGGCCCGTCAGCAAGATCGCGTGGTCGTGGCGGGTCCCGTCTTTCCCCATCAGCCCAGACTGCCACTGGCAGAAACTGCTTAAGGTGTGGTCCGCATGGTGACTTATCACCAGCCCTGGCTGTGCAGGAGAGGGAGGAAAGAAAGCATATGCTATCGGACACTGTCACCACCGCAAAGTGTCATCAACTCAGATTTCAAGTCCATAGCTGGACCCAAATGAAACACTAGCAAATGCATTGAAAGCCCAAAGGTAGTGTGCTGTCTAAAGCTGGGTGGACTGGTGAGAACACTTTCTACCCCTCTACATATAAACCACTGGAATGTGTCTGACTCTGAAGGCAGGCTCAGTAACACAGGTACCTGTTTGTGCACACGTGATTCTGCACTTAAAATTTTTCAAAGCCATTTCAAAGTTACCTGTGGTGACATGATCATTCACACACGGCTTTGCACATTTGTACACTAACAGCACAATTGGCCAGAGATATGCCCCTTTCTTAGGCTGGGCAAATGGTATCCCAGGTCCCCAAATAAGGCATCTTTTACTCTTTATCACTGCAGTGCTGAAAACTGTCTAACAAAGGCGGTATGTTCATGACAAGAGGTCTGGTGGCTGGTAAAGCTGCATTTCCAGCGAGAAACACAGTGTCCAGGGGACACTGAACCTTGTCCACGGTATCAAGTTGCACATGCAGTAAGTGAAATTCCAGAGTGAAGAACTTCGGACCACTCAGGACTGAGGGGTGTGGGCGTGGCAGGAACACTGGTCATCACAGGCTGCCCTAAGGCATCCAAGCTCCGTTCACACGCAGGGTGTGTGTTCCTCTGGATGCCTGACAAACATCAGGATGAGCACCTCGGTGTCAGTGCCCTTTAGGGTAAACACTTTCACTTATGGGATGCTGCGAAACCTGTGTCTCATTTGCAGTCACTGCAAAGGGTTTCCCCCAAAACATTCATGCAGAGTTTCAGAGAGTCAGCTACACCTAGCTAAACACTGCACATAAGCCCGGGGGTGGGGGGCATGCCTTACATTCCTCAGCTGGTGGCTTCCAGGAACGCTGCATTAATTAAAATGAGCACAGGTGTATGATCAAATGATAACCTGGCTTATTCTTCTGCAGCTTGGACAGGTTCCAAGGTGAAAACACTTTAATACAAGGAATAATTAACCCGTCACCTGAGAAGCCCAGCTGGCTCCGCACCCATCTCCTCCAGACAGGCACACAAAGGACACCGAGGCTACGTCTTCCCTAGCAGTCCAGCTAGACACAGCCCTCCACGCGTGCCCCACCCTGCCCTGCACGGGAAAGAGGATCTGGGACCTGATGGATGGGCTCAGATTTCACCTTATAAATGCTTTGCTTTACACAAGAAAACCGTGGCTAACAGGAGAACCTGGCATGCTCTTTGCCGAATTCATGTTCAGCCCGGGAGGGCCAGCAGGCAGGAAGGCGTGGGAACGTTTCCTGGCTAAGCCAGTCCCAGTTCTCCACACCTCAGGTGCTCACGTGACTCAGGGCGCTCTGGGGCCAGGTGGGGTGATTCTTTTTCCCACTGCTGCCAAGCCCAGAGAAGTTTGGGGTTTGTCTGCAGTCAGGGAAAGATGGATTTGCATGCAGTGAGCTCTCAGAATCCTTACAAAATAAAAATCTAAGGGAGAAGGCCAGGAGAGGTGCACTGTCCAACCTGAAAACCTGGTCACACCAGCGTGAGAGGAGCAGAGACACGCAGCACTGTTTAACAACTAGGCTGTGCCATGCTGCCAGACTTCTAGCAAAAACCAGGAAGGGCACGATTCCCCCAGGCACCCCCATGTTCTGCCCGCCTTTCCCAGCACACTCCCCACCCGTGAATTTAAGCAAGCTCTTCTAGTCCACTTTCTTCTAATCTCAGTTTATGAAAGTGTTTTCCTTACTATTAGTGAAGAAAAAGCCACAAAAATCATTGAAAAGATGTGAAAAGAAACTCATGGTTTTAGACAGAAAATTATAAATGTTTCTTTCCCAAAGAGAAAGAAAGGAATATATAGAATGATTATATTAAATCAAAAACAAACAAACAAACAAAAAACACCCTCACTGCTTTGTATTTATTTTTCTGGAAAAAAAGCAAAACTGGGGATTCCAAAAATAGACTACCTGCTCATCTTCCAGCAGAATGAGGCCAACAACAGCAATGTTGATGTTCCCGCCTATGGTTCCATCCTTGAATAATGCAGACACCTGGAACACAGAGCAAATCTGCGTCAGCCCCAAACGGTAACATCTCCCCAGCTGTCGGAGCTTGGGCTCCAAATAGGGAAGCAATGTTCTTACTTCGCTGAGTAGCATACTCAGATCTAACCAGCAGTGCAGAATGCTCCTTGTGCCTGTCTGGAGGTAAAAAGCTGACCTTTGGGGTGGGAGAGAGGATTCCATCTGGCGTCACTGAGTCCTGAGGAAGGATTACGGTCCCCTGAGTTGGAAAGTGTCCTTCTTAGAATATAGACAATTTTCTAGCACACAGTGATGACTACAGAGGCCACACACACCCAAGTTCTCCTGGCACAAAATTTCAGAAGCACAAGAGGAACGTTCAAAGGAGGACTCAGAGGATTGGTATGGCTTGAGTCTAGATGTCCCCCAAAGCCTCACACGCTCATAGGTGCAGTTTTTTGGAGGTGGCTACCTCATGGGTGTGTGGCACTAAAACTAAGTGGATTAGTTCACTGGTTGGTTTAGAACAGTTCTGGTTGTGGGTGATGGGGGACCCCGTGTGGGTGCAGGAGGCCTACCGCTCTGCCTCGGAGCCAGCTACTATGGACTGAAATCTTTACAAACCATAGCTCAAATAAACCATTCCTCCTTTGAATTTGGGTGCTGGGTATTTTGTCTCCACAATGAGTAAAATAACCAAGACAAGGACACAAGAAAGAGAAGGGAAAATGGGGTAAGATGATGAAAAAAAAAATGCAAAGGATGCAACACAGAAGTAAAAATGGATGAGTGGGAGGGCGCTCAGGGATAGAAGCGGGGACAGGTGACAATCATGGGCTGATGTGGGGGTGGGCCGTGGGTACCACAGTGGAGAAATAAATACGGGACGCGTCTGCAGAGCTGTTATCCATCAGCCAGGCTGGACCTATGACTCCTGTGGAGCATCTCCTCCTCCCCAGCCTGGGCAGCTCTCCTTTCCCGTTCTCTGTTTCTTCCATTATCAATCTTTGATTTCATCTTCCACAAATGATGCTGGCATGACAGGGCGAGGAAGGGGAAGCACTTAGGGGTGCTTCACTCGGGGAAGAAGAACACAGAACACACTTCTGAAGTGCTCTTACTAGACTGTCCTTAAAAACACACGATGGTGCTACACATTTTTGGTGACCTAGAATTCACGTTTGTGTGCTAGAGCTTGGCACAGCTCCCCAACTCCTCAAAAATTACTGCGGCTGCCACTTTGAGACAACTTCATCTGAGCTGATCCTCAGCAAGCTCAAGGGCTTTAAGTTTTCATAGTCAAACTGATTTATAGTTATCTGATTATCAGGGTTCTAAAGGGAGGGCATTTCTACACAGCCCTCTAAAATCACTCACTGAACGCTGGAAAACCGACTTAAGGCTGGGAAACGTCTCAGCCTCCTCTTAGGAGCTCCCAGGAAAGAGCCACACTGGTGTCCCGGAAACATCTCCCAGACTGGCAGGCTGCAGGGTCAAGTTCTTTTATTTTTTATTTTTTGTTTATTTTATTCTCTGAAGTTGCAAAAATGCCTCCTTTGATGAGAGCCTAGTAAAGCTGGAGGAGCAGTCTCATAAAATGTTGCTTGTTTATGAGGTGTAAGCCAACAAGTAAAGACTGGAGAATCACACATGCGTGTGCGCACGCGCGCGCGCACACACACACACACACACACACTCACGCACACTGTCTCCCAGGTCACTCCCACGGCTGCCAGGGGCTGCGAGCCCTACCATGTTGAGGATGGTCAGCACGTAGGTGGTGATGTTCTCGTGTCCATGGCTTTGCATCATGGTCTTGTCCACCACCACCAGCGTCTCCACATTCAGCTCTTCATTTCTGTGGGACTTGAGCAGGGAGCGCCTCTGTCGCGAGCAGGGCTTATACTCATCAGGCAGGATGAACAGGTCGTCCTGGGGGGGCTGCGGCATGTCTACAGGGACGGGGCGAGAAGAGCAGAAGAAGGCACATGCCACCAACCAGAGGTGTCACCCACAGTGCACCCAGCTGGCCTTGATGCTGCATGGTCTTCTTATATGACAAACTATCTATCTATCTATCTATCTATCTATCTATCTATCATCTATCTATCTATCTATCTATGTACCATGTATCTATCATCTATCTATTAATAATAAAGAGCAAAATAGAAGAGAGATAAATAAGCAGAGAAAAGCCCAAATATCACATAGTCCATTATTTCAAAGGTAATTCGGTGTGTATGCTAATTTGTTTCCTTTATATAACTAGTATAACTCTGTTCATTGGAAAGAAAGTTTTATATTATTATCTATTTGTGTCCTTTTAGTAAGACTCATTTGGCTTTTTGTACTCTGAGTAACTGCTTTGAAGATAAGGTTACCCAGGGGATTAACTGTTGTCATTCTCATTAATTTGTTATGAAAATTTGTTTTATTTTTCATAAAATAAAAAACAAATGGTCATAATAAAAGTGCATGCACTGACACACTGTGATGCAAAATTTGTATTAAATAGGACATCACAGATAAAGTCTGTGAAATGTATGAGGAGTGTGGAGTGTCTAGAGAGCAGAATTATTAAGGTGACAGCACACTGCCAACACCTCCTCAGGGTCCCCTCACCATCACCCCCCTACCCCCTCAGCCTGCCAAGTCCCCTATACCTTAGTGGCACCGTTGTGGCTGCCTTGCCCAGAACTGATTTAAAACGATTCCCTTTCCCGGTTATCCCAACTCGGAATGAGCCAGAAGTCATGCAGCCACATGTCCGGGAAATTGGCAGTCATCGACCGGTTTTATCACACTCACAAAAGACCCCTTCCAGAAAGTGCCAAGAGCCACAGAGTAGGTGTGTCCAAGGCAGAGGCAAGTGTTGGAGGGGATTCAGAGCAGTGTGCCTTTTACTGTGATCATCTTTTTAATTTAAACGTTCACTGTAGCTGTTGGTCACCCCTATCGGGTTGTGGCAATCACTGCTGTGCTTCTCTCCGTAACTCTGTCCTGATTTTGAGCAGGAAGAAAGGGGACTCTCTACTCAGGAGTCCTAGAGCTCGAAGCAGACTCTGAAGACTACAAACCCACGATCTGGGCATTGGGCTCCTCTGCGGCAGAGTTCCTGAGGAGGCAGTGCAGTATCATGACCAAGAGAGCGTGGCCTGTGCTGGTTTCCTGAGACCTGACCCTGCTGCACAGTTGGGAGTGGACACTAGATTCTCCACGGCAGCTCTGTTTTGCTGCAGAGTATAATTTCCTAGAAAGGGCCATGCAAAGCTGTCTAACTTAATTAGAAAGCAAACTTCACTCTGCCCTCTTTGAGTAACACCTTTAAAAATACCTTTGGCCTTTAAAATCATTAAGTCCACATTGTAGGAAAACACCGAGATTAACGGATGCCTCAGACAGCACAGTGAAGAAGCTGTCAGGCAGAAGCCACATCCTGGTGACGCACACCCACAGCTACGAGCAGATGGCGCCCTCCAGTCTCTGCTCTCACCTGGTGTATTTTATCTCTTTTTGTTAAAATACTGAGCATTGCTAATCCAAAAAATATGGTGAGTGCATGCTCTAAAATCCGAAACCTTTTGGCACTGACAGGACATCATGAGTGGAAAATTCTACCCCTGACCTTTTGGGATGGGTCACCTGCAGAACACAGGTGCACTAACAGTCTTGCCTCAGACACCTGCCAGCGGTGGGGTAGGTGTCCAGACAACATGTATTTCATGTTAAGTTTCGGAGCCCGTACCTAAGATCTTTCATTTCACATGAAAAGATTTCAACATGCAGAAAATCTGAATCTGCAACAGTTCTGGTGGACAGTGTTTCCCTCACAGACTCTTCCGCCCCTGCACACCTGAATGAAGCTCTGGAGCATGGTAATCATGGGACCACGGGCACCGGAGTCACAGGGACTCCTGCTCAGGCCACTCGTCACTCGCCATTACTGCTCTTCGGGGGTGGCCGTGATCTGGGAACTGCCTCTGTGACTCACTCAGCCTCCAGGCCACATGTGTGCAGGACCCCGGGTGGGACCACTGAGGCAGAGGGAACCTTCCCTACGAAGGGGGGCCTTCCCTACATGAGGGTTTCAGGTCTGGACTGCACAGTCCTGAGAACTTGGTCTTGGTCTCCATGGCTGGCAAAACAACATGCACAGGACAAAACCAGGCTGCAGCACAGGGCAGGACACCCGCAGGCCTGGGGCTGGGTGCAGGGCCAGCAGCACTGTGTGGTCTCATGTCCAGTACTCGGGCAGCGAACTGCACACCCTCTGCAAGGCTCTAGAGCACCATCCCCAGACAGGCAAGTGCCAGCCAAACCCTGCAAACAGCACCCCAGGAGCTAAGAAACAGAGGACCCCGCCTCTGCCTGGGCCAGCCTCACCCATTATTCTATGCAGAATAGAATTTGTTCCCCGCCCCCACCAGAAATCAAATTCAGGACCTTGCATTTGCCAGGCAGGAACCGCGCCTGCCGCTTCTGAGTAGTTTTTCTTTGCTTTTCTCTGCTGTGTTAGCTTTGTTTTCTGTACTGGGGATTGAACTCGGGGTCTTGGCATGAGTCATATCCCAGCCCGGCTTCATTTTTTATTTTAGACAGCATTGCTAAGTCACTAAGATGCCTAGGCTGGGCTTGAACTTGTGATAACAGATGCTTCAGTGAACACAGAGGTAAACTCCTTCTCTGCCAGGGAAGAATCTTTGTAAGTACGAGCCCCACAGAGACCAAAGACCTGCACTTTGGCCCCCACTCCCAGGGAAACCCCAAAGATAAAACGCAGAATCCACTAAGGAGGTTCAAGTGAGTGAGTTTTCCAAGCTCACGTGTGTGCAGCACGTGGCTGCCACGTGTTGGGTGAAACGAGTTCGGGCACAGATATGTCAGCGGCACTGCAGCTGCATTTTTGTTGGGATGCTAAATGAGGGCTCATTCACTTTGTTCACCAAGATTTGCTGAGTACCCACCATAATCTTGCTCTTATTTTAGGTTGCTGGCTACAGCAACCCTCAAAACCAACCACACAAAGGAAGGTGGTCTGGGGGAGCCCAGGTTCTCTGGGCACCCGGAAGGGGAAGTGTCACTCAGGTGAGCCTGACGACAGAGCTCAAGGAAGCAAGGGAATTGCAGAGCCTCTGATTCTTTAGCCCGGAGAGGATTCCTGGATTAATAAGAGGTCATCTCCTGCGTGGCCATGCACAGAGCCCTGGTGATGAATCGCAGGTGTATGACGTTGTGCTTAGTCTGTCCTTTGATGTGGAGGAATAAAGCATAAAAATATGGATGTGAATATAAATTGCTTCAATAGAAAAGCTATGTGGGCTTTAATAAATCTAAGCCTCAAAAATATAGAATTACCACGCAGACAAGCCAGGGTTCTTTTGAAGATTCTATACTTCTGCGCAGTGTCATTTAATCTGCCCAGTCATTTGTGTAAAGAAAGGAAACCACCTATGATCTCTGACCCGTCTTCCAAGGAAAGCAGACTCACAGCGGACCGCCGACAGGGACCTCTCTGGACACACCGCTTGGGTGTAACAGTGATAATCACTATCACCTTGCATGATGACACATTTCTGAAGGAAACTAAGAATTTCTCATTGGCCTGGCATGATGATGCATGCCTGTAATCCCAACACCCTGGGAGGCTGAGGCCAGAGGATCACAAGTTCAACTCCAGCCTAGACTTACCTTAGCAACTTAGAATCTGTCACCAAGTAAAGAATTTTGAAGAAATCTGTGAGGTAATTCAGACAAAGGCCCTCACTTCGAAAACATTTCCATAATGGCCAAACCATGCAACACTAGAAGAACTGCCCTTACATACATTTCTTGCGCCTTCCACAGAAATGCTGCTTTTGTGGGAGCCGCCGTGGGTTGTAGCTGCCACCATGTGGGTGCAGTCTGGGAAGCTCCCGGCGCCTGGAGACCATCAGGACCTCGTTGGCCTGCGGAGCCCTGGCATCTGTGGATCTCTTGTACAGCAGGTGGGAGGCAGGGCCGCCCTGGGCGGAGCCATTCAGCTTCCCTGCCAGGTGTGGGGGAAGTGGCTTTAGGATGTAGTCAGCCTCCTCCGTCCTTATCAAGCCCGACTGGAGAAACAAGGAGGAGAGAGAAAACGGTTACACTTCCAAGGTGGAGCCATGGCCAGTTCTCCAACGATTACAGTTTGTGACTTTTGTATTATTTTCCACAAACACGATATTCCCTCCAGTGAGGGCAATTGTTGGAAAGGCTCGAATTCTGGGGCAAGAGCAAGGGCTGAGAAGTCTCTGAGCTCACACAGCCTGAGCGCCTTCCTGGACCACAGCCTTCCAGGGAGATGGAGCAGGAAGACGGCAGCTTCCTGCCTCCAGGAACAGAGAGAGGGATTGCAGCACACCAGAGCTGGCCACTTCAGCTCTAACCAGCAGAGGCCCCAGGAAAGACGAACTTAGACATTAATATCGAGGAGAAGTTCCCAGACAGCGAGATCAACAGAGACTCCTGAGAGACCACTTTGCAAAACTGTTTGAGTGAATTTTAAAACATGAATAACAAGTGACACATTCTTTTAAAAGTATGAGTTAAATGAATCCAGAAGAAAGTAGAAGAGAACTTACGTAGGGGTCAGGAAGTTCTTTTTAAGCAAGATATTAAGGACATAAAGAGAAATGTTTTACAAAAATTTTTGGTTATAACAGACTAGGTAACAAAGAAGCACAGTTGAGAGACAACATTTTGATTTTCCTTTCTGGTTGATAAATATTTTCCAGCATGATCACAGTGAGAAAAAAGACAAACAGGCGAATGTGGAAACTTAGCTATGCAACACGATATTCAGCGTTTGAAATGCACAATCCCAGTTGAGGGTTTGGTCTTTATTATAAGCACTTCTACGCTGAAAAATATTATACACTAAAAAAGGCCATTTACTGTAAGAGTAAGATTCATCCCAGTGATACAAGGAATGATCCACCATACACAAATCAATAAATGTGGCACATCACACTTGTAGAACAAAGACCCAATCCCATCTGACCACCTCATCAGATGCAGAAAACAATTCAATAAAACTCAACATCCTTTCACGATAAAAACACTAAAATTGGTTATATGAGGAATGTACCACTATATAGTGCATATCATATACAACAAGCTCACATCTAGCCTCATACTGAATGGGGAGAAACTGGAAGCTTTGTCTCCAAGATTTGGAACAAAGCACATTTTTATAATTTTTATTAAACTTGGCTCTAGAAGACCTAACCAGAGCAATCAGGTGACGCTAAAGGATGTGCAACCTGCAAAGCAAAAAGTCACATTACCACGTGTGCAAATGACACACCAGAGACTCAAAATATCAGAAGTAACAAATGAATTAAGTAAAGTTTCAAGATGCAAAATGACCACACAAAAATAAGTAGCAATGCTGTACACTAATCCCAAGTTATCTGAAACAGAAACCAAGAAGGTAGTCTCATCTGTGGTATCTACAGAAAACATGTTGGGAAAACTTCAAGTCAGGAAGACCAAATAAATCTTCAATAAAATTATAAAACATTGGTGAGAAAAACTGAATGAGATGGCAAACAAATTGGAAGATATTCGTGTTCTTGGGCTGGAAGAATCAATACAGTCACCACACAGATTCTGCCCCACATCCATCTTTGGGCAGCACAGTCCTCAGCAAAACATCAGTGACATCCCTCACAGATCAGAAAACACTCCTAAATTTTTATTGAATCACTCTAAAACTCCTGAAAAACTAAAGGAGGCATTTTACTGACTTCAAGTATCTGAGGAGCTAGAAACACTTAACCCAATTTAAACATCATGGAGTCATGTGTTGAGATGCCACATGATACTTCATTAAAATGTATAATTTTTTTTTACTAAAAACTTAATATACTTTATTGGCAAAAAATTCCAGATGCTTTCTATATAATCCTTAACATTAAACAATGGAGAATTTAATAAACAGTTTGGTTTCTTGTAGTATCTATATTTCTATTGTTAATACAAAGCCAGACTTCATAAGCTACACACAGAAAGCAATGTATGCATGATTAGCTTTAGGGTTGCTTCACACTAATGCAAAGATGTTCACATTTGCTAATGACAAATGCCATCTGCATCCTTCACCATTTGGACAGCTTGCGGGGGACTGGTTACTACTTCTATATTATCTCTTCCCCAATACCCAGTCTGATCTAAGTTTGGAAATTATTCTGGTCCTTTACAGCTTTTTCTGCACCACAGAGCCTATAGAAGGCTCTTCTTCTGGTTATAAAATATTCTCTCCATAGTGACTACGTTTACATGCTATAAATTTATATAGATTATAAATGTGGTCAACAACACTAGACTTACTTCAGCCATCAGAGGCTCAATTTGTTGTCTTCAACTCGTTAATAAGGAGCTTCAAGAAGAAAACAAGCTGTGTAAAAGAACTACACATGTCACGATCTTTTGGCACACAAGCACCTGTCTAGTACTCTGGAGGCTTTAACGTGTCTAGAGGCAGCCGCTCGACTGTCTCTGCTTTGGTGTGAGAGCAGCTGAGAGTTGAGCAACTTCGGAAACACTTGTTTTGATCCAAAGTTGCATTCATAGTGCTCCATGTATGGGAGTCACAGACACACTACAAGTCTTGCTCAGTGTAGTTAAGTATGAGAAACCACGCCCACAGTCGATGATGTGGACAGTTGTGTAGATGGCTGCTGGAGCTGTTGCAGGTGAATGAAATGTGTGACTTGTGTGCACTCACTAAGATGATATCACAAAGCTGCTGCAACTAATACAGCATGGTATTGGCATAAGAGCAGACTTACAGGTCGGTGGAGCAGAGAGATGATATCACAAAGCTGCTGCAACTAATACAGCATGGTATTGGCATATATACACAGGTAACAACAGAACGGAGGTCACCAAGGCTGGGTGGGAGGGAGAGATGGGAAAGAGCTGACCCACGGCACCAGCTGTAGTTAGACAGCACGAATGGTTTCCCGTGTCTTGCACAGCAGGGTGTTGAGAGATAATCATAACATACTACAGAAAGCTACAAGAAAGGGCTTTGAATGTTACACTATAAAAATAGTAAGTGTGTAAGCAGAGGTATATACGCTGATTAAACATCACACAAAGTGTACTTGTGCCAAAATGTCATGTACCCACCAAACACGTACAATATTTTTTTTTATTTTAAAGAGGGTAAATTAAACAGAACAAAACAGATCATAAGAAAAAAATTTAAGAAACACAGATTTCAAAGATAGACCACCGGAGATCTTCACTCTCTATCACATTTTCTCTTGTTTTCTTCCAAACAGTTGTCCGTATCTTCACACATAGTGAATTCATACTGAACAAAATAGTACTAAACCGATCAGAACAGGATGATGAAGGCGCTTTAGGTCTTCAAGACCAGATAATAGGGAAGTTAACAATGGCTGCCATAATGTGTCTCATTCTCTTCGAAATAGCATCTCTACGTATGTTGAAATTAAATAAAAGAAAACAGACTAATATCACTCTGGACAAAGAATAATAGTATTGTTAGATTTTATGTCATGACGCTACGGAATTAACACTGGGTATCTCAGTATGTCAATTTCTCCAGAGTATCTGTTCATTACATCTTATGTGATATAATCTATTCTTGTAAGCAGTTTACAAGTTCTACACATGCGTGCATCTCTAAATGTATACCTATCCTTTCTGTATTAGAGGGGAAAACAAATCAAAAAAGACAGCAACACAAATTCCTAGAAAAACATGAAATGAAAAAGACATATACAACCACAATACTAGGTGATCTACAGTAGTTACTATGCTGTCTCTTTATTCAATAGAATTGTCTATATCATCAGCCATAACATAATAGCACTACATAGCAATATTAATAAAAACAAAATATTGGAGACATTATAGGACTTCAAAAGCAGTTAGTAATCAAACCAAAATGGGTATCCTATTGCATCTTGTCATCTTCAGAGTAGTTGCCACTGTTCTTAGACTTGATACTATCAAGCATACCAAATTCGAATAAAATCTGTCAAGACAAAACAGCAATCTAACAAACCAGATTGAATTAAGATCAGTCACAGTAAGACAGTGTAAGTAATACAGAGCTTCAGGTTAAGTCAGTAGGAAATTAAGGATAGTTACTATAGTATATCCTGCTATTTTTGGGCTAGCTGTCTGTGTCCTCAAATCTGGTTCGAGTAGACAGACCGGAACAGAATAAAATCAAACTACACAGAGAGATAAGAGTAATGTGGCTTTCAAATCCTGATACACTATTAACAGTGTCCTCTGCCTTCCTTTTTTAGATAATTCCTCCCCTTTCCCTTTCTCAGGGTGCTTTGTATATTTTGGGTCCCACTAACTCCTTTAGTTTTTAGATAGGGGGGGCAACCCACTATCTACTTAAGTGGGTCTGAACCTTTTTACCCCTGAGCTTGATCTGAGCTGTATTTCTTTACCTACTAAAGCCTCAAGGTTTTCCGTCCTTATGGCTGAGTAGGTCTCCACTACACGAAAGTGTCATGACTTTCCAACCTATCTGCAGCTGCTGGACGAGCTGTCCTTATTTCTCTCTGGTTCCTTGTCACATAGAGCATTGTTTTCTCATCTTTGACTTTCAGTCCATAAGCCCTCTTTCAGGTTAATTGTATTTCCTATACAGAGCATCTCACTGGATCCTACCTCCTGATCTACTCTGTCTGTGTTTCTTTTTGTTAGTGAACCAAGGCCATCTGCAAACACGTGCAATTTAATACATCAATTTAAAAAAGAAATAAAAAATTGGTAAATATGTGTGAGTGTGTTTTGTAGCATTTTGTGATAGCAGAACTATAAACAAAATATAGCATAGTATAATTTTCATGCTTCTTTATGATTTCAGGGTAAATTTTTTGAAGTGCATATTCATGAATGGGGAGGATATGACTACCAGACGCTACATAATCATGTGCTAGTAGTGATTACAATGAAACATGCTTCTGAGTTCCTGAACCACAACTCACATTGCCATTCACAGCAGTCCTTTGAGGTGGCATCTGCGTCCCTTTTTATGGATGAAGAAATGGAGACACGGAGGAGCTGGTGA